GATCACACTGGCCCACACAGTAGGCCTCACACTGGTAAGAGAAGCTGAACAAATGTGGTGACGCAGCCTCTTGTGGGTCACACAGGTGGTGGTGGTGACGCTGACCCTTGGAGACACGACTACTGCTTTATCCTAATAGATCATTGACCTCATTAACCACAGTACTGGGTGTGGTGGTGGGTGGAAGGTAGGGTGTGGTGGAAGGTAGGGTGTGGTGGTGGTGGGTGGAAGGTAGGGTGTGGTGGTGGTGGAGTGGAAGGAAGGGTGTGGTGGTGGGTGGAAGGTAGGGTGTGGTGGTGGTGGGTGGAAGGAAGGGTGTGGTTGTGAGGGAGGGGGGAGCAGGGGGGAGGAGGTGTCGGCGTCACTATGGAAACGTACCCCAGGCGACTGTCTGTGGCTGGGACCTTTAACACTCTCTCTCTCTCTCTCTCTCTCTCTCAGTACCCTATATTCCACTCCCTCTCTTTTTCCTGTTCATCCTTCATCTCTCCCTCCCACTCATTCTTCCTCTCTTCCGTGTGTTAGAGGCAGGTGTGTCAAATCTAATTAACAGGTGTTTGTGTTAGAAGCAGGTATTGTGTTTTAAGGATCATCACACGGTCTACTGTACGACTTGTGTTTGCTTGTCAACGGGGGGAGGCTTGAAAGCGTTGGCTGGAACCACTTAGCATTGACTTGTGGTATGTACGTGTGTGTGCGTGCGTGCATCAAAGGTGTATACTAGCCCCTCCTTGCCCCCCTCATCTCTACATACCCCCCCTCCTCTTCTTAGCCCCGCCTTTCTTCCTACTTATCCCCCTTCTCTCTCCCTCCTCTCTCCCTTATCTCTCCCTTATCTACCTTATCCCGCTTCACCCCCCCTCCAACACCTGAGGTCTGTGGCCTGGGAAAGGTGCGAGTTACCTTACTAATAACTTCGGTGTGTGTCTGTGTGTATAATAATAATAATAATAATAATAATAATAATAATAATAATAATAATAATAATAATAATAATTAATGGTTTATTGAAAAAGTTCTGCAGGCCGAAGGCTGAAAATATACATTGGACATAAATGACTTATTACATACATTGGTGGTTTAACAAAAGCCTTCATTAGAGAAAGGTGAAGGAACATACAGTGAACATACAGATTAATGTTTACAGTGGAGGTCACGTAGATCATGTGAGCTGAGGTGTTGAACAGCAGACACGTAGTGTAGTAACTCCCTCACAGATGGTGTTAGGAGGGACCTCACGTGGTGTAGTAGTTCCCTCACAGATGGTGTTATGAGGGGCCTCACGTGGTGTAGTAGTTCCCTCACAGATGGTGTTATGAGGGACCTCACGTGGTGTAGTAACTCCCTCACAGATGGTGTTATGAGGGGCCTCACGTGGTGTAGTAACTCCCTCACAGATGGTGTTATGAGTGGCCTGACGTGGTGTAGTAACTCCCTCACAGATGGTGTTATGAGTGGCCTGATGTGGTGTAGTAACTCCCTCACAGATGGTGTTAGGAGGGACCTCACGTGGTGTAGTAGTTCCTCACAGATGGTGTTATGAGGGGCCTCACGTGGTGTAGTAACTCCCTCACAGATGGTGTTATGGTGGCCTGACGTGTGTAGTCCCTCACAGATGGTGTTATGGTGGCCTGATGCGGTGTAGTAATTCCCTCACAGATGGTGTTATGGGGGCCTGATGCGGTGTAGTAATCCCTCACAGGTGGTGTTATGAGTGGCTGATGCGGTGTAGTAATTCCCTCACAGATGGTGTTATGAGGGGCCTGACGTAGTGTAGTAACTCCCTCACAGATGGTGTTATGAGGGGCATCGCGTGGTGTAGTAACTCCCTCACAGATGGTGTTATGAGGGGCCTGACGTAGTGTAGTAACTCCCTCACAGATGGTGTTATGAGTGGCCTGATGCGGTGTAGTAATTCCCTCACAGATGGTGTTATGAGGGGCCTGATGCGGTGTAGTAACTCCCTCACAGGTGGTGTTATGAGTGGCCTGATGCGGTGTAGTAATTCCCTCACAGATGGTGTTATGAGGGGCCTGACGTAGTGTAGTTACTCCCTCACAAATGGTGTTATGAGTGGCCTGACGTAGTGTAGTAACTCCCTCACAGATGGCGTTAGGAGGGGCATCACGTGGAGTAGTAGTTCCCTCACAGATGGTGTTATGAGGGGCCTCACATGATGCTGTAACAACTCATTCACTACGTGGTGTCGTAGCATCATGGGGACGCCACGTGGTCTGGTGTCACAGGACCTCACTGTACAGTGTACAGCCTACCCCATCCTCCCCCACCCCACCACACCCTAATCCACACTCACATAACCTTCATTAACCTAAACCTAGTGTTAGTGGTTTATCTGGGGTGAGAAATAAGCTGGGGTGGATATTCTTCATGTGTGGGGAGACTGACAACCTCATGTGTGTGTGAGATAGTGTGTGTGTCCGTCCGACCGTGGGAAGAGGTGACAACTGACTGCTAAATGGTGACGTCTCTCAACACACACGGTCACTGGATATCGTGAGAGCCTGATACAGTAAACAGAGACGGTAATACAATATACATTCTCTATAACAGCTTTAAGGAATGGGTCATTAACCAAAAATTTCCAATACCAAAAGACGAAACATAAGATGAACTTTCAATATAACTCACGCTGAACATTTGTGGTGGTCAGTTGTCCCCATGACCCCACTCAGTTGACCCCTGACCTCGCTCAGTTGACCCTTAACCTTGAATCCTAGTTGACCTGGTTCTCAGTTGACCTCTGACCTCGCTTGTAGTAAGGTTACGGTAAATTACGCTCCCGGGGTTTTAACCAGACGATGGCTAGTGTTAATTGGAAAGTGCTCTATGGCTCTCTGAAGGCTGAGCTTGTGAAGGCGATGGAAGAAAATGAGAGACTCAAGGTGGAAATTACGAGGCTCAAGAGGAAAACAGTGAGGCGGGAAGTATTTATGGAAGAGGAAATGGAAGATAAGGGTAAGATGGAGGACTTAGAAGGTAGGAAAAGATTAAATTATTGGTGACTCGAAGATGCTTTTCTGTGCGTGTCTGAAAATTTACCATAAAGATATATGATAAAAGCAACATAAGGTAAAATTAACGAATGGAATCACTTAATTAACAATAACTGGGGAAAAAAGAAGTGAAAATTTAAGTTGTAATGGTTGTGAAGGGGACGGGTGGCGCCAATAAGATCCCTCCCCTTCTACGGTACAGGAGCTCTTACTTACAGGTGTAAAGGAGAGCTCTGGCGTCCCCCCTTCCCTTCCTTCTTCCCTTTCTTTCCTCCCACCCTCCCTTCTTCCCCACCCCCCCCTTTCCGCTTTCATCGCATGGTCTAGGTAGGTGTCTCAGCTCACACAGAATGATGTAGAGAATTCTTGTCTCACCTGGTGTATTTGGGGGTGGCAGAGGTGTGACAGGTGTGATAGGCATAACAGGTGTAGGACAAGTGTGACGTGGCAGGCTTAGGACAAGTGTTTCAGGTGTAGGGCAAGTGTTTCAGGTGTAGGGCATGTGTTTCAGGTGTAGGACAGGTGTGGTAGGTGTAGGATAAGTGTAGCGGGTGTATGACAGGAGGGGAGACCTTACCCTTGGACTTAATAAGGTGAGGGAATGTGTGAGAGAGTAGAGTGACTTCTCCACGCTGGAAATAAATAGACAAGAACCTGGGTATCTCGCCAACCTCCCCCCCTCTCTCACCCCCCCTCCCTTCTCTCTCTCTCTGTGTTCTTCCTTCATTCAATATAGCCGCTGTGGCGTCCATTTTGAAAAGCTGTTGCATGTCTCTTTTACACGTACGGTTTTGTAAATTTTTTTGTGGATAGTGGGAGAATTTTTGTGACCATTGTGAGTGGAGAGGTGCAGGTGTGGTGAATGGGGTGGTGCTGGTGGGGTGATGCAGGTGGGATGGTGCTGGTGGGGTGGTGCAGATGTGGTACGTGGCATGATGGTGCAGGTGTAGTAAGTGGGGTGGTACAGATGGTGTGATAAATGATATGTAAGTATACCAGGGTGCGGTTATGCCGTGAGAAGCCAGACAAATGGTGTGGCGAGTGTTGTGAATGTGGCAGGGCACAGGGGGGGGTGGTATTGTCATTGGGTTGAGGCAGGTGGTGTGGGGAGGGGGAGCTAGCTACCACCTACTCTGGGGTCACGAGTTTGTCAGGTGGTGGTGTTGGGGGGTCGGGGGGAACAGGCTCTTGGGGGTGTTGTAAGGGGAGGGAAGAAGTTACGTAATGGGCGGAGTGGAGGAATGTGCGGTGACTGAGTTTAAAAGTGTGAGGCTTACCGCCTTTACACTCTCCACCTGTACAAATGTTCTTCCTGATTTCAAATATTTATCACAAAGAAAGTAACATACACAGTTAAAGAAGCAATGTTACCAGTTTGTGTTTTTTGGGAAAATTTGATTCTGTTTCTATTTCTACAGGGACCAGTAGGCCGCGGAAGACCCATTAATTGACAACCTCATTCACCTGACTTCACTCCCCATGATTTTGTGCCTTGGGGGTCTATGTTAAATGTGAAGTGTTTGTTTCACCAGTGACAACATCTTTGGAATAGTTGAAGCACAGGATCCACGCTCTTCTGTTCTTAATAGTTAACGTCGATATGCAGCTAGACAATGTATAGAGAAATACAATATCGTTTGGATGTTTGTAAAGCCTCAAAGGATGTTACTTTTGCCTCTACCATTGTTAGTTTCTTTATAATAAATATTTGAAATCAGGAAGAATATTTGTAGTAACCCTGTATTACCACCAGCACCACACTACACCACCACACTAAATCACTGCGTCTACACCCACACCTTGACTTCACACCACACCTACACATTAAACGCCACAAGACACCACAACACATACATCACCACAACTACCACACAACACAGGTTGTATAGTAAGTATAGTAGGCGGGGTGAAGGTAATAAGTAGGGTGTAGGAGGCTGGCTTCAGGAGTCGAGGCCACGAAGAACGGAGGGTGGGTTGAGAGCCTCGTCACCACACAGTATAATACGGGCGTCGGAGGAGGACACACCTCTCCGTCGCCCCGAGGTTATAAACATTCACAGTCGCGCTCTACACTCGCTGCTGCTCCGTGTGTGTGTGGTCTAGTCACTGTTACTCAGGTGTACAGTACTATAGTGGAGAGGCGGTTATAGCAGGTAGTGACATTCCCGGCACCCGGCCATCCTCACCACCACCGCCCATTTCCTCCACCCACTGACACCTCCGCCCATATTTGAGGAGAGTAGTGGTGTGTGTGCGTGGCTCTCAAATAGTGTTGTGGGGGAGGTCGACTAGTGAACCCGTTTGGTAAGGGAGCCAGCCAGCCAGCACCAGCGTCAAGGTCGCCTCATAGAACAGGGTGTTGCTACAGTAATGTGTTGTGGTGCATTAGTACACTGCCGTCTCCCTGCACATGGAGACCCACATAGTGTACAGTACTACACCTTCTCACAGTGTACGCTCTTACACCCGCTGGTTACACTACAAAATGTGTGAAAACAATTATCAAGAGCTGTGTATCAAGTGAGTTAGTGAATATAGTAGTGGAGTGTGTTTAAAGGAGTGTAATACCTGGGCCATCACATGGTTAAAATGGGGCTCAAGGAACTGGACCCAGCTGAGAAGTGGACGCATCCACCCAAGAAGAAATGGATATTTAACTATTTAGCTGATGGTAAGTGACTCTCTCTCTCTCTGTGCCTAGCTCCGTGCTTATTTCAGCGGTGGTAGTTGTGTAGTGTTTCAGGGGTGGTAGTTGTATGGTGTTTCAGGGGTGGTAGTTGTGTAGTGTTTCAGGGGTGGTAGTTGTGTAGTGTTTCAGGGGTGGTAGTTGTATGGTGTTTCAGGGGTGGTAGTTGTGTAGTGTTTCAGCGGTGGTAGTTGTATGGTGTTTCAGCGGTGGTAGTTGTATGGTGTTTCAGCGGTGGTAGTTGTATGGTGTTTCAGGGGTGGTAGTTGTATGGTGTTTCAGGGGTGGTAGCTGTGTAGTGTTTAAGTTGTGGCAGTTGTGTAGTGTTTCAGCGGTGGTAGTTGTATGGTGTTTCAGGGGTGGTAGCTGTGTAGTGTTTCAGCGGTGGTAGTTGTATGGTGTTTCAGGGGTGGTAGCTGTGTAGTGTTTCAGTGGTGGTAGTTGTATGGTGTTTCAGGGGTGGTAGTTGTATGGTGTTTCAATGGTGGTAGTTGTGTAGTGTTTCAGTGGTGGTAGTTGTATGGTGTTTCAGGGGTGGTAGTTGTATGGTGTTTCAATGGTGGTAGTTGTGTAGTGTTTCAGTGGTGGTAGTTGTATGGTGTTTCAGGGTGGTAGCTGTGTAGTGTTTCAGTGGTGGTAGTTGTATGGTGTTTCAGCGGTGGTAGTTGTATGGTGTTTCAGGGTGGTAGTTGTATGGTGTTTCAATGGTGGTAGTTGTGTAGTGTTTCAGTGGTGGTAGTTGCATGGTGTTTCAGCGGTGGTAGTTGTATGGTGTTTCAGGGATGGTAGCTGTGTAGTGTTTCAGGGTGGTAGTTGTATGGTTTTCAGGGGTGGTAGTTGTATGGTGTTTCAGGGGTTTGTATGGTGTTTCAGGGGTGGTAGTTGTATGGTGTTTCAGGGTGGTAGCTGTGTAGTGTTTCAGGGGTAGTTGTATGGTGTTTCAGGGTGGGAGTTGTATGGTGTTTCAGGGTGGTAGTTGTATGGTGTTTCAGGGGTGGTAGTTGTATGGTGCTTCAGGGGTAGTGTATGGTGTTTCAGGGTGGTAAGTTGTATGGTGTTTCAGGGGTGGTAGTTGTATGGTGTTTCAGGGGTGGTAGTGTGTATGGTGTTTCAGGGGTGGTAGCTGTGTAGTGTTTCAGGGATGGTAGTTGCATGGTGTTTCAGTGGTGGTAGTTGTGTAGTGTTTCAGTGGTGGTAGCTGTATGGTGTTTCAGTGGTGGTAGTTGATGGTGTTTCAGGGGTGGTAGTTGTATGGTGTTTCAGGGGTGGTAGTTGTAGTGTTTCAGGGGTGGTAGTTGTAAGGTGTTTCAGGGGTGGTAGTTGTAAGGTGTTTCAGGGGTGGTAGTTGTGTTTCAGGGGTGGTAGCTGTAGTGTTGACAGTGTGGTGACAGGTGAATTAAAGACAGTATTGTGGACAGGTGTGGTAGTGACAGTATTGTAGTAAGTGTGGCAATGACTGGTATGACGTGTGGTGACAGGTGAAGTAAAGACAGTATTGTGGACAGGTGTGGTAGTGACAGTATTGTAGTAAGTGTGGCAATGACTGGTATGACAGTGTGGTGACAGGACAGAACGGCAGTGATGTGGTTATCAGGGTGTGTGAGTCATCAATCTGTTCATGTGTGCATTACTATATGTGTGTATGTGTACGCGCTTAGGTGTGTGCGTAATGTGTATGTGAGTTAAAATATTTGTGTGCCTACCTTGCAATAACGTGTGTGTGTAGTAATAACGCGCGTGTGTGTGTGGGGGAATGTAAGTGTGTGCGTGCGGTGGGATGGGGGTGGTAGGGGCAGTGGTGAAAGAATGTAGCACACGACAGATGTGTACCTCTGCCACACCTGTACTGACACCTGCTGTAACTGTACACACACTTAACGACTCCCACCACCACTACTAGCAGCGTTTTTACCACCATATTCACTACCATCAACGTACAACAGGCGGTGGTGGTAGTTTATGGTGTATTGGTTGATGGTGGTACTTTATGGGGTAGTTGTTGATGGTAAACTATGGGGGGTATTGGTTAGGTTAGACTGTTGCTCTGGGTGTTGGAGACCATGCCACCAGACTGGAAGTATCCATTGAACTTGGCATGTGTGTGTGTAAGCTTATAACACTTCCATTGACTTATCTTACCTAGGTGGAAAGTAGAATTGTTAAGACACCAAATATAATTATACTTATACTGAATATCTTGCTGAACCAATTGTTAACTTGGTGTGACGATTATATTGAATATTTATAAATCTATTCTTGAAATGTTGTGCGCCCTCCCTCCCGGTCATGTGTACCGGGACAGTGCCTCCTCCACTCCCCCTCTTCACCCCCTCCCTGGGTACATGAGCAGCAACACGTCAGCCGCGCCATATGATACGTCAAGTCACGTGAGATGTGGTGGCCCTGTGAACCATTCATTTGGTCACAGGGTCCGGGCGAGGCTCAGCTGGGGGTCTTGTACGCTGGTGGACCCTTCTGACACCCATTCCATTGTCTCATAAACGAACAAATGTTAAAGTAATAAGGTGGAAGGAAGGTATAAGCGAACGTATGTAAGGGTGAGTGTGTGTGTGAGTACGTGTGGTGGTGGTGGGCGAGTCGAGTTCTCCGCCCACCACTGCCACCACCATAATCATTATTGTGAGTGCTTTCCTTAACTCGTGCATCGATGTTGAATAATGGTAGTACTTGTTGTAACATTCCTCCCCCTTTCGTTCGTTTGAGTTCGTTTTTTATTGTTAAGTTGGTAGTAGGAGAAGGGAAGTAAATAAAGAAATAGAGAGGAGGACGGTAGTGGCGGCAACACTGGTCTGGCTGGCTGGTGCACTTGTGCGGCTGCCAAATACAATATGGCAACATGGCAGTGTTGCCGTTTCGTACCTTGGTAGTCGGGGTTGGCGGCGCTCCTCCACACCCTCAACATGTGCTCACTATTTATTCTCTACCTGTGTGATAATGATGGTGTGGTGGCCGTCAAGGTTGACCCGCCCGCCCAACGCACCAGCTGGGCAACCGTGGTATTGTGTCTACACTTGATCTACAACACCTGCTGCCCACACACTTAAACTCTACTTTATTTACCCACAATACTACCGAATTCTTTGTTCAGTAACCTAGGACACTTAACATAACTGAGCTTTTAAGTTTATTAAAAAGGGAACATTACATATTTATCAATAAGTTCAATTTTTTTTATAATTGTACGATATAAAATATTTGTAATTGTTCAAACCCTTTCCTGTAGCTTCATACACTGACATTACTTTCTCCCTTACCATGTCCTCTCTTTTTGACGCTTAAGTCTCAGTCGATCCCCGCCACGTACATACGGCTGAGACGCAAGTGAAAGAAAAAGAGGTCTTGGTGTGTGTGCGTGCCTGCGGGAGGGAGGGAGGGACGACAGGTGGAATGGGGGAGGAGGTAGATGTTTTTAGTGTGTGGTCCGTTATGGTAGGGAGCCACGTGTGGTGTTACGTAAACGGTGGCAGCGCGCGCATGACTCCGCCCTTTACACACCCCCCTCCACTCCTCTCTCCCTAATCCCCCCTCCTCCTTAACTCCCCGTCCCTCACCCTCCACCCCCCTTTCCTCGATCTCGTCTGCTGTGTAAGCCTTCACACTAACCATCATCCTTGCCCTTAAACACGATTATTTTAGGTGTTACGTAACAGAATGTTTATAAAGAAACGTCAAAGTGTAATTATTACCTGTAACACCTGTGGTAATGGTAGTGAAGAAGAATGTGTGGCTACTTTACCTGTATGAGTCAATACTTTCCTGTCACTTTCCACTCTTTGTCTTCAACAAATTTTTTTTACCGTGTGTGTGGGTCGTGTACCCTTTAACCTAGCTCCACCTCATTCACCCAACACTCGGATACATAACTGGGGTGTGAAATGATGATTGTTTACTGAGGGCCAAAAAGTACTACTAGAGCCAGTTTTAACACACACTTGACCGTCTCCCGTCAACCCCTTTCCTACCTCCCTTTACCCCTCACCTAGAAATGAGTGCCAGGATGCTGACCATCTCACCACCTTTGGTACATAGTAACACTTTCAACGTCGGGAAGAATGAAAACAAGTGTTGACAGATGAAACACCAGTGAGGTACCTGACCAGGGAGGGGTGGAACGAAAGAGGGAGGAAAAGAGACAGGGAAAGAAAGGCTGAAGGAGGGAGGGAGGGAGGCAGTATGGTTCAAGAAGGTCAACAATACCATGTGATCGCTCAGCTGGACAACACACTTACACAAATACTTGGTACTGATTGCCTAAAGTTTTTGAAACGAAACTAGACTGCCACTTCAGATTTTTGGCTAATTAGACGAAGAAATTGAGCGTGTGTGTGTGAGTAGTGTTACACAAGACACACACCAGTGGAAGCAGTGATGACACCAAAATAGGGCGGCAGATTAATTCAGGGAAGGATGCAAATGCACTACAGGAGGATTTAAATAAACTGCAGGGGTGGTCAGAAAAATGGCAAATTAAATTCAACACCAGCAAGTGTAGCGTACTTAATATTGGAAGAACAAATACTTATAATGTATACAGCCTTAACAACATCAACCTAGAGAAGTCGACTTGTGAAAGAGACCTAGGGGTACTTGTAAGCCCGGACCTACGGCCTAAGAAACAATGCGTTAATGTTCGAAATAAGGCAAACAGAGTATTGGGTTTTATATCTAGAAGTGTAAGTAATAAGAGTGCAGAGATCTTATTGCAACTATATCTTGCGCTGGTCAGGCCACACCTCGATTATGCGGTTCAGTTCTGGTGCCCTTATTATAGAATGGATATCAATTCACTAGAGTCGGTGCAGCGAAGAATGACGAAAATGATTCCGGGACTTAGAAACCTTCCATATCAGGATAGGTTAAAGAAACTAAACTTGCATTCCCTAGAAAGACGAAGAGTGCGGGGAGATATGATAGAAGTATTCAAGTGGGTGAAAGGAATCAATAAAGGTGATATAGATAAAGTTCTTATAATATCCGAGCAGGATAGGACTCGGAACAACGGATTCAAGTTGGATAAGTTCAGGTTTAGGAGGGAGATAGGAAGAAACTGGTTCACAAATAGGGTGGTGGACGAGTGGAACAAGCTTAGCAACTTTGTAGTAAGTGCGGGAACTCTGGAAAGTTTCAAAAGGAGGCTAGATAGATTCATGGATGATAGAGAGTGGTAGTAACTCTCGACAGAAGCTGCCATGCACAGGCCAACCAGCCTATTGCAGACTCCTTATTTTCTTATTTTCTCGAAACAAGGCTAATAAATACGTGGGTTCATACAAAGGATTGTTAGTTACAAGACTAGCGAGGTCATCTTAAAACTATATCTTGCGTTTGTGAGACCTCACTTGGATTACACAGTTCAATTCTGGTCACCGTATTACAGAATGGATATAGAATCCTTGGAAAGAATTCAGAGGAGAATGACAAGGCTAATCCCAGGCATTAGGAACCTTGAGTACAGAGACAGGTTAAAGCATCTTAATTTGCACTCCCTCGAGAGACGTAGAGCGAGGGGCGATATGATAGAGGTGTATAGATGGAAGTCAGGGCTGAACAATGGGGACATTACAAAGGTACTCAAACTATCCAACCAGGAGCGAACTCGTAACAATGGTTTTAAATTAGACAAATTTAGATTTAGGCGCGAAATAGGTAAACACTGGTTTGGTAACAGAGTAGTGGATATCATCATTAACTCGAATATGCTGGATAGCTTCAAACATAGGTTGGATGCTTATATGAGCAATAGGGGTTGGGTGTAAATGGGGCTGCCCAGTATGGGCCAATAGGCCTGCTGCAGTTTCCTCCATTCTTATGTTCTTATGACAACGATAAACACAAAATATGACGGTTGAGGATGACCTGATCACGAGATCTGAGGTTGACGAGTTCCACAACAATTTAAATAATGAGTTACTTAATGCACAAAGGCAGAACATACCATATAGAAAACTCGGATAAAACAACAATGACCCCTAAATGGATAAACATTTATTTAAAGAATATTATTGGACAAAGAAAGGCTATAGGTAGGAGAATAAATCGTGGTGAAGTTTACCTCCGAGTTTATTATAAAGTATTGGCCAGTAGGGTTTGACCGAGATAAGAAAAGCAAAGAGGAATAATGAACTGAAGGTAGCAAGGGAGGCGAAGTCAAACCCCAGGGGATTCTTTCAAATGTATCAAACTAAAACACGAGATATGATCGAGGTGAATATATGGAAGTCAGGGCTAAACATAGGTGATATAGCAAGTTACCAAACATTAACTCGAATACGCTGGATAGCTTCAAACACAGGCTCGTTAGCTCGAAGTGAAATTTGTTGTGCCGTTTTTTCCTAGTATGAACATTTGGCCATTTTTTTTCCGAGTACCCACTGTGACACCACCCCACACCACACCACCTGGTGTCCCCATGACCACGTAAGGTCCTTCACATGTTCTTATATTCAACACCCGAGGACGAGTTACTGCACCGCGTGAACACCACACCACCCGGTGTCCCCATGACCACGTGAGGTCCTTCATATCAACACCGAGGACGAGTTACTATATCACCTGAACACCACCCGGTGTCTCCATGACCACGTGAGGTCCCTCATATCAACACCCGAGGACGAGTTACTGTACCACGTGAACATAAGAACGGAGGAAACTGCAGCGGGCCTATTGGCCCATCCTGGGCAGTCCCGTTTACACCCAACCCCTATTGCTCATATAAGCATCCAACCTATGTTTGAAGCTATTCAGCATATTCGAGTTAATGATGATATTTGGTAACTTGTTCCATTCATCCACTACTCTGTTTCCAAACCAGTGTTTACCTATTTCACGCCGAAATCTAAATTTTTCAAATTTAAAACCATTGTTACGCGTTCGCTCCTGGTTGGATAGTTTGAGTACCTCTGTAATGTCCCCTTTGTTTAGCCCTGCCTTCCACTTATACACCTCTATCAGGTCGCCCCTCGCTCTACGTCTCTCGAGGGAGTGCAAATTAAGATGCTTTAACCTGTCTCTATACTCAAGGTTCCTAATGCCTGGGATTAGTCTTGTCATTCTCTGAATTCTTTCCAAGGATTCTATATCCATTCTGTAATACGGTGACCAGAACTAAACTGCGTAATCCAGGTGTGGTCTCACAAGAGCAAGATAAAGTTTTAGGATGACCTCGCTAGTCTTGTAACTAACACCCCTTTGTATGAACCCAAGTACTTTATTAGCCTTGTTACGAGCAAAAACACATTGTTTACTTGGCTTGAGGTTCCTACTTATCATTACTCCTAAATCTCTCTCGCAGTCGGATTTCTCTATGGCATCGTTGTTCATCTGGTATCTGGTTTCCCTGTTTACATCTCCTATACTGAGTACTTTACATTTGTCCACGTTGAATTTCATCTGCCATTTTTCAGACCATTCGAAAAATTTGTTTAGATTTTCCTGTAGTTTTGCGGAGTCCTCGTCAGATTTAATAACACGTCCTATTTTAGTGTCATCAGCACTTATGTTGCTGTCTATGCCGATATCTATGTCATTTATGTATATAATAAATAATAATGGTCCAAGTACTGAGCCTTGGGGAACTCCACTTGTGACGTTGCTCCAATGGGACTTAAAGCCGTTGTTGCTCACTCGCTGTTTCCTGTCCTGTAATCATGCCCTAATCCATTTAAGGATATTACCTTTGATGCCATGTGCTTCTACCTTTCTAATTAGTCTTTCGTGGGGGACTCTGTCGAAGGCTTTGCTAAAGTCGAGTTATACCACATCATAATTGTGCCCCTCGTCCACCGATTCGAAAACTGATGAAAAGAATGTTAATAGATTAGTTAGACATGAACGTCCGCTTGTGAAGCCATGCTGGGAATCATTGATCAATCGGTGCTTCTCCAGGTGATTTCGAATAGAGAGTGAAATGATTGATTCCAGTAACTTGCCTACTATTGATGTTAGACTGATTGGGCGGTAGTGAGAGGATAGTGATCTATCCCCCTTCTTGAAAATCAGTATTACATTCGCTATCCTCCAGGATTCTGGTACTACACCTGTTTTTAAGGACATGTTAAACAACTTTGCTAAGGGCATACTAAGCTCTTCCTTACATTCCTTTAATACTCTGGCAAATATCTCATCGGGACCAGGTGACTTATTAGGCTTTAGTTTGTCTATTTGCTTACTAACATCGTTACTAGTCACTACTATCTCGCTTAATTTATTTTCTTCACTATCTCTGAATAGAGTCGGTGCCCCGGGTATCATGTTTAAATTTTCGGTGGTGAAAACTGTTGAAAAATATTTATTCAAATTATTGCTCATTTCTCTGTCGTTATCAGTGAGCTCGCCGGTATCTGACCGTATTGGTCCAATCTTTTCTCGTGTTTTAGTTTGATACATTTGGTAGAATCCTTTGGGGTTTGTCTTCGCCTCCCTTGCTATCCTTACCTCATTATTCCTCTTGGCTTTCCTTATCTCGGTTTTAACCCTACTTGCCAATACCCTATAATAATCCCGGAGGTAAATTTCGCCACGATTTATCCTTCTACCTCCTGGTGTCTCCATGACCAGCCCGGCCCATCAACTGCAAACTATAATAATTTGTATGTTCAATTCATGTTCCTTCTCCTTTCAGTAATGGTATTCACTATATGGAAGGTTATGGTGTTTACTATATAGGTTATGGTGTTTACTCTAAAGGTTATGGTGTTCACTATATGGTTATAGTGTTAACAGGTGTTATCTTGTGTGTTACAGATGACGGTGGGGACGATGGTGCGCCAGACGAAACGGGCAAGAGAGAAGTGTTCAGACGAGACAACACGTATAGTAGAGTACCGCCCACTACCACCACCCCCCCCACCACCACCAATAACAACACCCATCACCATCACTATCACCATCACCACCACCACCTTAACAATAACCATAGTGGTGGAGGTTTGGCTACCGCCACATCCCCACCTCCTCCACGTACAGCCCCCTCCAGTCCCGGCCATGCCCGTGAAGAGCTGCAACATCATCAACATCAACAGCGGCGGGTTCCTGCGTTAACGCCGCCCATGGGTAGTGTGAGGGGGGGTGTGGTAGGGTGTGGTGGTCAGCAGCAGACATCACCGCGAACCTCCGTGTCATACCCGGGTTCACCAGCCTCCTCCTCCCCGCCACACCTCACAGTGACCCCGAGAGGTAGTGCAGCTTCCCCATTGGGACTGCTCAGCGCTTTCCGCCAGGACTCCTCCTCCCCGCCCACCACCTCCACTGCCTCTTCCGCCTCCTCCTCTGACCCTTCCTCCATCACCCGCCTCCCTCACGACGCAGCCCTCCACCTTACCAACGGCCTCACACGTCATAATGGTCTTAGTAAGTCGTTGGCAGCGCTGTCACCTTCCCCTCACACCCTCACGCATCACGGCCTCTACTCGCCCGAGGATCCTGCCTTCAAGGACGACAAGAAGCGCTCTGGGTGAGTTGCTATATTGTCTTATTTACGCCACACCGTGTCCGTCCGTCTATGAGCTTTCAACTTGAATAAAAAGCGATGGATATTTAGCTGAACGTTACTTAACTTGACATATTGTTACTATTGTGTTAATTACTGTTGTTAACATACCATTTTGTAACACCATATATATGTCATGTAACACTATACATAATAGTCTTATTATGTCAAAAAATGCTGCCGATTGCTAGTTTTAAGTTTGGGTTAGGTTAGATTACATTAGGACAGGTAAGGATGTTTTAGTTTGGATTAGGATAGGATAGTTTAGGTGAGAATTAGGGTGGTTAAACTTCAGGTGAAATGAACTGGGGTGGCGATTCTTCAGGTGATCTCCGTATACTGTACCCGATTAGAAATTACTGCATTCACAATCAGGTCACATACATAGAGCTGAGTGAACCAATATGAACGAGTAACATTTAGTATGCCCGAGAGAGTAACACACGATATGATGGGGTTTAAAACTTCTATTGGGTTCACGACCAATCTAGCTAACTGTTTACCATCGTTTCCAATCTCAAATATGGGTGAAAGGAAACCAGCGAATAAAATAACTTGATAAATTAAGTTAACCTATTTAAAATACATTCTAGAAACAATAATGACACTAATAGCAGGTTTACTGAGTATGAAAATTTTTCCGTCGACACAACATAATGCTAATAAGACTACAATTCAATTACAATATACAACACTTAACGTAATGGAGTAGGAACACTATAATATAAGAGAAGACAGTTCACACAATACAAATATACAGTATACAGCACTATGGAAGAGGTGAGACCCACAGCGACAACTACACTGTACTGTACATCAGGGGTGTCAAACTCATTTGCCAAGGCGGGCCAGAATTAATATGAGTACCTGTACACAGTATGCGGGCCAAGTAACATAATTATGAGCACTTCGCAATCACCTCTTAGGTGAGTAGTACGACAAAATAAGAAAGGTGGATTTAGTCTGCGCTCGTGCGAAACCCTTAAAAGCAAACAAATCAAGTGTTTACTTACCTTGATCAATATTATTGTTTGCTACTGCTGCTTCCTGATAATTGGCACCTCTTGGTATAAGAACATAAGAAAATAAGGAGTCTGCAATAGGCCGGTTGGCCTGTGCATAGCAGCTCCTATCGAGAGTTACTACCACTCTCTATCATCCATGAATCTATCTAGCCTCCTTTTAAAATTTTCCAACGTTCCAGCACTTACTATAAAGTTGCTAAGCTTGCTCCACTCGTCTACCACCCTATTTGTGAACCAGTTCCTTCCTATCTCCCTCCTAAACCTGAACTTATCCAACTTGAATCCGTTGTTCCGAGTCCTATCCTGCTCGGATATTATAAGAACTTTATCTATATCCCCTTTATTGATTCCTTTCACCCACTTAAATACTTCTATCATATCTCCCCGCACTCTTCGTCTTTCTAGGGAATGCAAGTTTAGTTTCTTTAACCTATCTTGATATGGAAGGTTTGTAAGTCCCGGAATCATTTTCGTCTTTCTTCGCTGCACCGACTCCAGTAAATTGATATCCATTCTATAATAAGGGCACCAGAACTGAACCGCATAATCGAGGTGCAGCCTGACTAGCGCAAGATATAGTTGCAATAAGACCTCTGCACTCTTATTACTTATGCTTCTAGATATAAAACCTAATACTCTGTTTGCCTTATTTCGAACATTAACGCACTGTTTTCTAGGCCATACTGTAGGTCCGGGCTTACAAGTACCCCTAAGTCTCTTTCACAAGTCGGCTTCTCTAGGTTGATGTTGTTAAGGCTGTATACATTGACAGTATTTGTTCTTCCAATATTAAGTATGCTACACTTGTTGGTGTTGAATTTAATTTGCCATTTTTCTGACCACTCATGCAGTTTATTTAAATCCTCCTGTAGTGCATTTGCATCCTTCCCTGAATTAATCTGTCGCCCTATTTTGGTGTCATCCGCAAACTTGCTTATGTCACTGTTGATCCCAGTATCTAGATCGTTTATGTATATTATGAACAAGAGTGGGCCTAGTACTGACCCCTGGGGAACCCCACTGGTTACACGACCCCACTCAGATTTAACACCATCTACGCTGACCCTCTGTGTTCTATCGGTGAGCCATGATTTTATCCAATTTAAAACTTTCCCCTCAATACCATGAGCCTTAATTTTTCTCAGAAGCCTCTGATGCGGTACTCTGTCAAATGCTTTGCTAAAGTCAAAGTAAATAACATCGTAATTTTCGTCATTATCTACTACCTCGAAGACTTTCCTAAAAAACGTCAGCAGATTTGTTAGACAAGATTTTCCCTTTGTAAACTCATTTTGAGAGTCGTAGATTAATTTGCTTTTCTCTAAATGCGATCGGATGCTATTTGCTATAATTGATTCAAGAAATTTCCCCACTACTGATGTCAAACTGATCGGCCGGTAATTTGACGCTGATGCTCTGTCTCCCCTTTTGAATATGGGTACTACATTTGCCTGTTTCCACAAGTCTAGCACAACTCCCGTGTCTAATGATTTTGTAAATAAATAAGAACATAAGAAAATAAGGAGTCTGCAATAGGCCGGTTGGCCTGTGCATGGCAGCTCCTGTCGAGAGTTACTACCACTCTCTATCATCCATGAATCTATCTAGCCTACTTTTGAAACTTTCCAGAGTTCCCGCACTTACTACAAATATACGAGGAGTCCGCTAATCTGTTCCTTACACTCTTTCAAAACTCGAGGGAAAATTTCATCCGGCCCTGGGGATTTTGTATGGACCAGTGCATCAAAGTTTGGCACTAACGACTGAGCTGTAGCAACCTTCAGTATTGAATTAAGGTGCGCATCAGTAAGTTGAGACCGAAGCCGAAACTTGTTCAAGTTCATCACAAAAGAGTTGTTCACAGACATATGTAGTTCCGAACATTGACATAATCCTTGAGGCAAAACATTTAATCCTGGAATAATTTGGTCCAAAATATTGATAAAATGTGCCAACATCAACACTTGAGAACTTGTTCCTCAACACAGAATCACACTGAAGCTCATTGGTGATGTTGATTGAGTATATTGTTCTAGCAAACAGCGGACTATTTTATTCAGCTGAGAGATACACTCACTATTTAGTTTTAGCTCCTCAAGGTAAGGCTGGAGCAGCAAATGGGCCGAGGCCGCATGCAAGTGTGTCGGGCCGCATGTTTGACACCCCTGCTGTACACAAACAAATTAAACTGACTTTTTATCGGGTGGTTAATCTAACACCAAAACCTCGAATGAATGCGTCAAAACATCAACTCCACTCATCCAATATGGTTAGTAAGATGACCCAGTGTGCCGACGCTTGGCAGCCCTATCACACTTTTGCCTTTAACCACTGGATGGCAACCTCTACCAGAAAACATTATAGTTGGCTGGCTTGTCAGATTAATGGATGAATACCTGTTTGGTACATAAATAACACTAGGAAAAACCGAACATAATACACAAGAGATATACTCAAAAAATTACACATGCACAATTGAGTTATGTGTGATATGCGTTAAATTCAAAAGTTAGGTGAGGCGTAGCGATAATTTTTCTTACCCGTGAGGTATCAGTAACGCCTGAGTGATGAAACGATGACTTATGTTAAGAAAAACTATCCATGCGTTTTGAAGGTATTAAGTAACAAAAGTATATAAAGATCATCCATGTTTTTGTTGTGAATAACGAAGGTATGTCTCCTACAGAAGCACGCCATCACGGGAAGTCCATAACAAGCTGGAGAAGAACAGGCGGGCGCATCTGAAGGAATGTTTTGAGACCCTAAGACGCCAACTGCCATCTATGGACGACAAGAAGATCTCCAACCAGACCATATTAAAGGCCGCTCACAGACACATCCAGGTGGGTCAACACTACCATCATGACGCCTTGCCATGATCTAGTGGATTATCATGTTGGAGTAGTCTACCATGATCTAGTGGACTATCATGTTGGAGTAGTCTACCATGATCTAGTGGACTATCATGTTGGAGTAGTCTACCATGATCTAGTGGACTATCAAGTTGGAGTAGTTTACCATGATGACTGTTCCATGTTGGAGTAGGGAGGGAGTGTGTGGAGGAAAGGATTGTACTTAGAGGTAGAGAACATGCCTAGAGGGAGGGACTCACAAAGGAGGTCCGGTCACACGTCATTACAGTGGATGAACGCAGGTGATAAGCCAAGTAACGTAACACTGTGACGTCATAAGTGTATTGATCGAACCTGGCTGGTTCTCACCACGCATCCCCCTCCCCCACACGGGGATATACTACATTTTATTAGGGGGCAGGTGTAGTACAGGGAGGTATACTGAATTATATTAGGGGGCAGGTGTAGTACAGGGAGGTATACTGTATTATACTAGGGGGCAGGTGTAGTACAGGGAGGTATACTGTATTATACTAGGGGGCAGGTGTAGTACAGGGCGGTATACTGTATTATTCTAGGGGCAGGTGTAGTACAGGGAGGTATACTGTATTATACTAGGGGCAGGTGTAGTGGGAGGTATACAATATACTAGGGGCAGGTGTAGTACAGGGAGGTATACTGTATTATACTAGGGGCAGGTGTAGTACAGCTGTATTATACTAGGGGCAGGTGTAGTACAGGGAGGTATACTGTATTATACTAGGCAGGGTATGTATTATACTAGGGGCAGGTGTAGTACAGGGAGGTATACTGTATTATACTAGGGGGCAGGTGTAGTACAGGGAGGTATACTGTATTATACTAGGGGGCAGGTGTAGTACAGGGAGGTATACTGTATTATTCTAGGGGGCAGGTGTAGTACAGGGAGGTATACTGTATTATACTAGGGGGCAGGTGTAAAGTGTATATTTATTTAGTTCAGTTCAGTATAATGTTCATGTAATTTAGGACATGATGAGTATGCTGTATTGATATGTAATATTTTGTAATGAACATTGGATATACAGAAATACACAGATTTAGAGATATAGTTGTGGTCACGTATTATGTTATTTTCATTGACAGAATTTGAAAAGAAAAGAGCGGGAGTATGAACACGAGATGGAACGTTTGGCCAGGGAGAAGATCGCTCACCAACAGAAGTTGTCGGTGCTGAAGAAGGAATTGTCAGCACGCTGGGACCACATTGACTTTAACGCATTACTCCCTGACATGGCGTCCCTCGAACAACATCGTGATAAAGAGACCAAGTCGACCACCACTGCTTCTGAACAGCCAGACCTTGAGGATGACACCCCAAGGGATGCCGGCACTCAGGCTTCCTCCATCGCCGCTCCTTGTACGCTCTCTCCTCGTCTGCACTCGGAGCCCCCTAGAGGGGCAATCACCTTTGCTACCATTGGTATAGACGGGAGTTCCAATATTGGCTCTTCAGGTTTGGTACCTAGAGACCATTTTACAGACCCTAACCAACCACTTAATTTGTCAACCAGTATCGTTGACTCATCGAGAGCGTCTCCTCGGATGCAACAGCTGGTTTCTCAAGGGAGATCCCCACACCACAACGGTGAGTGGGGATCACGGCAAGCGTCGCCACATTATACTTCAGCGGCGTACACTACCAGCAGCGAGGAAGACACGTGGCCATCTCCAGATAGTACCGTGGCACCCACCTTAACGCGGGAGACCGTGACAAGCGTACATGGCGAGCATTTACCAATAATGGGAAGCACAGGTATTCATCTACCAGCACAGCTGGTAGCAGGTGGAATGCAACTTAATGGTGCTCCAGGGGGTTTGTTAGGCCAGCCAGCCATTCAGGTCATCACCCCAGAAGGTTACAAATTGCTGCCAGCAGACCACGCACCTAATGGTGCTAAGCCGCTCACAATCACACTTGCACATCCAGGTAAGTGCTTTACCTGACATACACGGTTCAAATAGAAGACCTTGATTTTATTGACAGCATTTTTAATATGAATGAAGAAAGGAGTATTATTCAGACAAAACTAGTCAGCCTTTCATCAAGACTATTTATTGCCTGTACAGGTATTTGCTGCCACAGTGTAACTTTAACTACATTCACCTTCAGCAGATGGACTTGACAGAGGTGAAAACTCTGATGAAGTAAAAACAAGTGCAGGTCCAATGATGGTTGCCCTCAAGAATGGACTCCCTGCACTACATCTGACTGTTCCTACCACTGCCCGGTCACTCTCTCATACTCAAGGTTAGTCCTTGGTTTTCTGTAACCTGTATTTTTCCCACATTAACAGTATGGGAGTTTGCTAAGGGTTAATATAATTTATTACTCAACCTGAATGAGGAAAGGGACAGCAGACCGAGACACCCAGATAAGTTTTGTGTGTCACTTGCAGATGTTTTTGTTCAGGGAGAGGTCACTGTTTCTTTAATGTAATTTATTGCAAATGGATCATAATAATGATATTGATGCAAAAGGGATAATGATCCTATATAACTTTTCATTTGGGACATACTTGTTCATCACAACACCTGCAGGGATGAGATAGAAACTATCAGGTGTGCCAGATTATTCTGGGATAAAGCCATGCACCCATAACCATTCTCCACTGAACTGAAGCTCTACAGTTTTTTGCCAATCAAAGCACTTCCCATGGGCGATATCAGTACAGTATATGATTACATTGATTGGTTTATTGCAAGACAAAAGGTTATAGTTTCCAAAAACTTGACACGAGCAGTGACTCTGGCATGACTATACAAACAGTGCCCAGGAACATGGACTGCAAACATAGGGTTATGGCAAGGCTGTCAATGTTCTTGTAACCACATGTTACAGCTACTGATTGATCTGTAGTTGTATGTACTCTATTGGCAGTTGGTGTGGTCAGCAGATAAGGGCATGGGTGAGATGGGTGTGTATGACTCCTTGACTATGGCTAACTAACCATAACATTACACCACTGTTGTATGGAGTTGATCAAGCATTACAGAAATGTCCAAAAACATGGGACCTAACATGGGAAGGTTGGTGCAAGATGAGTCTGGCAAACAATAGGAAAATTTCAAAACAAGAATGAATATCCACACACATATATTTATATCCCCTACTCGCATATGCTGTATAACATTTCATTGTCCATATCAAGGATTCCAAATCAGATTAGCCAAGATAATACCCATGTATATATAAAGTGATGGGGCAGATTTTATGTGTAGTCATCTTGTAAACTCAAGAAGAAATAAAGTATAAAAAACAATAATGACATCCACCACACCTATCTATTATTTTTGCACACAAGAATATTTTTCAGGCTATTGAATCTTTTTATTAGTCTGTATTCTTAAATGTTTGATTTATTTAGTCGCTGTTATTAATCACATTAATAAAAAACAGCCTAACTCTTGCACAGGAAAAAGGCCATAAAACTGTCTGTGCTAGAATAGAAATAATAAAGGTCTTTAAGATGCATTCTGACAAAGTTGGTACAGTACTTTATAAGAAACACCGATTGGATATAGATATAAAGTCATTGGTAATGGACAGGTGTTTATTATATTTGTTACATGACTAATTGGTGTTTTACGTTCTTTTGTTATTTCCAGGCGCAAATGGAGCAATAACAACGGTACCTCTAAACCTAAGTGTTGGAGGAGGACCAACCGTCAAGGTGACGCAGGCAACTACATCCTCAATCTTGTCGTCTTACGTGCCCATAACTCACCCCAATGGTACGTAATGTAATCAGGAAGATCTTTGACTACTACTGTTGTGACCTGAACCTTATAAAAAATGGAAGGAAATATAAACTATTAAAGTAAAGAGAGAGAGAGATGGGAGGAATAGAGTGGGCAAGGAGAAATGCAGTTATGAGGCAGCCTAGACACTTTATTTGTCTTGTCCAGCATTTCAGATTACATATCACGAAGGAAAGGGAAATCCCTAACCATTATGAGAGAGAAGTGTACAAGTAATACTGTAGTCTTGGAAATTTTGTTACGAATTTTTTCCACATATAAATTACTGAAAACTTTAATCATTCTGTATATTTAAAGTTTTCTCATTCTCCCCGACAGGTATCACACAGTTGGTGTCTGCTGGTCTGGGCAGCAGCATGGGAACTCTTGTGTCTGGAATCGGTCCTTCAATAGTTACACCTCTGGTGGTATCCCAGCAACAACGTGGTGGTATGCCAGGCACCGTTACAACGGTTGGCAGTAAGGGGATAAAAGCTACTGCTATGGGAGGAACTGCCACCAGTATGCCATTGGTATCGACCCAATACACCACTTCCCTCGCCAGTGGTCTAGGAGGACTGGTGAAGCCTGTGGTCGTAGTGTCTGCTCCAGCAGCAGTCGCAGGGCTGATGGCTGGGGCTCACACGGTGGCCTCTGGCAAGCCCTGATGTGCACCACTTGGAGACAATCCCAGGAGAGTACAAGCCATACCTCAGCTGTGGGCCGGGCTTGAGGCTCTTAGTCTCTGCTGTCGCCCACTTTCACCGCCACTCTCATTCTTCATCGTCATACTTGTTATCATGAGAAAACTAGTACATATTTTCATGTTTATTTTTATGTGAGATCAAACTTGACATTCATGGCAAGTTTCTCTATGTACATTTTCATTACCGGTGATGTTGGAGATAAATAAGGATATCTAGTTATTCTTAATTTTTAAAATTTTATTAGGTAAATTATTTTATAAGGTGGCCAGCATGGAATCCAGGCTGCACCAGGAAGTGTGTGGTATTGAAGGCGACTATAGCCGGGGACTGGTCATCAGTACCCGGCGGTCACCAAACTGTGATAGTGGTTCATCTAGTGACTCTTGTTCTCTGAGAGTTGCTGGGTAGGACTCCATTATGCTGGTGGATGCACACTGCTCAACATGGTGCCAGCCACCATATTTGTGTTGCACTCACTGGTGTATATAGCATCACCCACCTGGTTGTTGGTGTTATTGTTATCAAACCTTGTTGTAAATGTCTTATCTTTATTATGTATTGTGTATGTATACCTTCTTTTTTTTTGACCAAATGATCCTTTTAAAGGTGACTAAATGTTGCTGTGGCTCCCCTGATGCTCTGCATACAAAGTATGCACGAGTTCACAACTGCTGACAGTGATATACACCCGCTCAGGGTGACGCGGTTTCCCCCTCTTCCTCAGACCTGCCGCCCACCTCACCAAATATCCCAAGTGTACAAATTCAACTGGTAGTCAGTTGTTACATGCAAGTGTATTGGCTGCAGTCTATTGTACCAAGTGTTTTAGTGTCACTCTGGGCGGCAGTACTATGCCAGATCTCAGGGTTGACGGGGGTCCTTGGACCTCTGCTCACCTCAGTGCAAACAAGCCATACCCAAACCCTCTTAATTGATAGTAAAATGTTTCAAATGTCTTCTGAATATTTTTTTATTTTAGCCTAAACTGATGATGGTTACACAAAAATTTCTTCCCTTGAAATGTGGCAATTGTTGTTTATTACACATCACCGGCAGCTATAGTAGTACAGTGCCTGTCTTTTAAGGAGGAACGTAATGGCTGCCAAGTGCCCAGCGAAGATTAATGGTAGAGGTTTGTAACCTCTGTTTACAGACATAAAATACTGTATATATACTGTATATGTGAATTCAAACTACATAAGTAAATTACTGTACAGTCAAGATATAATTGAAACAATGAATTTAATAAGTAAACTATTTATTAGATTACTAGAAAGAATTTTATGTTTACTCAAGAACTAAGGGCCACCTGCCTCAACTTCTCCCAGCCTCGATGATAAATGTCCGGTTAATTTTTGCCTCTGGTTCTTGTAATGCTACATGGAGACTGCCATCACTGTAAGAATACATTAAAATTAAACTTTCTAAAAAAAATTTAACAGTCAAAACATGGTTAAGGAATTTTTAAGAAGAAAAAGATGTCACTGAAATGTACTGGGTATTAACAGAAGGTAGAAAAGGATGGCAAGTGTGCAGAAAGATGATTAAAATATAAAACGGTGTAGAAAAAAAAGAAAGGGAGAAATGAAAAGGGGTACTGAGATAGTATAGCCAGATGAAAAGAAGGAACACAGGAAGGAATGACTACAAATGGAGCAACCAAGGGAAGTCTCATTGGATGCCCACCATAGAAAACTTAAATGTTCTCCTTTTTATCTTTTCTGGACGAGGGAAGCATTGCAAAAATGACAGAGAAATTAACAGTAAAGAAAAGTGTCTGGACTTTTTGTACACAAATATGTAAAATAAATCTTTCCTATGGTGTCAATCCTTGTCATCTTTGTGAATTTGCTACAATATCAAAGTGAAAAAAAATCCTTTGGTGTGTGACCTATGAAACATTCTATACTGTACAATGAATAGTCCTTCATAACAGAAGATATTCCGATACAGTAATACAACTAATGATAAGCGAATGTATTTAAAATTCTAGGTCAACCAGTTTGGTGCTTTTAAGGTGCCCACTGATCAAATTTAGCTGGGAAGAAATGATAAAATATGATTACATTTACAGGGGTACAAAGTGAGAATTATACAGAAGAAAGACGGACAAAGAGATGAAAAGAAACTACTGTATATTAAAAAATAAGTGAATCAGAACGTACCTCTTTAAATGGAAATCTGCTTTGAGTAATTTTGAGTCGGAGGTCAGACTTGTGACATCCACCTGTGAAAATAAGACACACTACATTTTACTACACCTCGGCATGATGTTGTACAGTATAGTTATGGACAAAAAGAAATTCAGCAGGGAGGGAGTGTAAGCTGGGGCTGCCTCATAATTAAACAAAAAAAATTAAATTGTGGTGTGAAAAGAACATTGAAGACTTTTAATCACCAAATTCATGCAAAGTTACCAAGTCTCGACCAAACCCCCACCCTCCATCCTCATTTGCCGAATTCTTTTTATTCGTAACTGTACCATTTTTGGCTACATTAATTACGAAGTACAGTAAAACCTATTACTTGTGGACTGCTTGGTGAGTTAAGGAGCTCTAGGGGCAAATAAACTAAATAATATGTAATGGAAAACAATTATACAGTAAACTTTTGCATGAAGAAGGTAAAAAGAGTTGTGCTTACTTAGTCTGACACTTCTGAATGAAGTATTTATGAAGAAATTCAAACCTAGCCAACTTAAAATGGCCAACAAATGACATTATGAATATTTGTAAACCTGTTAGGAAATGTTTTAGATAAGTAAGATTTTTTTTCTCACCAAATCGTTCTCATTAATATCATTGCTGGCTAAAATGTCCACCTGTATTTTTACTTTTGAAATTCTACAAACAACTTTTTCTCTCACTTTTTAACTCAATATTCATGGAAATCTTTGAAGATTGATTTAAATAATTAGCTTTAAAGACATGCTTGAGTTTAACCCCCCTCTTCCCCAGAACAGTTCGTAAAAATAGAACACAAGGAACACGAAACGTCCACCGATGATGGCCGCAGTCCCTACAGCCAGCTTCCACTGATATTGGCTACAAATTATGGGTGATGCTCCACATAATATAATTATGCAAGACAATCTACTTACAGCATATAAACCACAGAATGAAGAAGAATGCCATAACAATACATTTTAAGAATCAACAAACTTTTCCTTCATTTGCTTGTCATCTAATCAATCCCAATACTGTAAAAGATTATCTACCTCTATGATCCGGTCAATACAAACTTGAGTATAAAGGACAGGTAAAGTGACTCCCTATATGGTGAAAGCATCATTAACTCGGAGAGAGAGAGAGATATATCATCCTGAAGAAGAAGAACCTGTTATTATACACTCTTTACATACCTGAACTAGAATGGACTCCTCTTGGGGTTGTTTTGTTGCCTCCTCTGCTTCGTAAATAACTACAGAGCAGCTGGTGGGGATGGGGGATGGGAGGGCCAGGTTTAAGCTCTGGCGAGAGTGGGTGGGAGTCCCCCTACTGAACACACACTCACTGTTTTCACTACCTAAGACCTATAAATAAGGAAAATTATGTGTGAATGCATTTGGAGATGATGGGCACACTTATTTAATGAATGGTTGATGAGGAAAAGTTAGGTTTATGACACTTTAAGTTGGAGGAAAATCAGGAGTTACTTGATGTGGTAAAATTAATGGTGCAGGTAGGGGTAATAATGAACAGGCAGGGTTAATATACTGTGTGAAAGTCCACTACAAAAAGAGGCAGATGAAAAATGACAAAATAAACCACGACTGACAGACACAGGAACATGACTTTGCCTAACGTTATGATTCAGGCTTAAACACAGGGTTTAGATGTTATGTCAGTGAATATTGACTTATTCTTTTACACTCAGTCCTTAATCCCTAGTGACCCTGCCAGATTCTCTTATCTTGTATAGTGGTCTAAATTTCATGTTCTTTTTATTGTACTGTATTTTTTTGTCTCTAAACATTCTATTCTGTCTCTTGTATGTTTATCTCTGTCTATTAACATTCTATTCTTTGTTTACATTATAGGTTATCCATAATAGACAAGATTCTAGGCCACCCTTTCACTACATACCTACCAGTACCCTTGTTTTCTTTACTCCCCTTATCCTCCCCTGTTTTATTTTGATTGTTTTGTTCCCATTTTCCCTCCCAGGTGTCTTTACTCCCCTTACCCTAACCCATTTCTTCTTAGTTTTGTTCTGCTACATTAAGGACACAATGTTTTCACACTATTACATAAGCTAACATCTATAAAGGGCTGCATCTGGTAAAGAATTGAACGAACATAAAGATTAAATATGTGTATCTTCCGTTGGCGATCAGCATGTGTGTGTGTGAAAACGGTTTGTTAAATTCTGTTGAAAACTGTAAGACTGTTGTAGCTAACTGCACGACAGTTCCATATTCCTCGTGTCTGGTGGCATGGCGGAACAATGAAAAAAATATCCTCATACAATGCACATGATTTGTATGCTCAGTCAGAGATCAGCTTAAGCTCAGTGTGCATGTGTGTAATATACAGGTATACAGAGTATATTATTTATTCGTGCAGGCTTTACCAAGACAGTACACTATGAATGGAACCAAAAGTAATCAAGATTATCCCATCACCTACTGTCAATCATTCCTTCTTAAGTAGTGTAGATGCTGCTACAGTGACAGTCATAAGAATGTCATAACCTTACTGTCTACCAATGACGCAACAGTGGTTGGTAATTCTTTTCTTTTCCCAACATAATTAGGGTCTCGGGAAAACATATACCCGTACACACTGCCCTACAGACTTCCATAAGAGATTGTGAGTAATGTATTATAAAAGCAACATTGTCTTCATTTATGGATGTGTGAGGACAATGTTGCAGTTGTAATATAATCATTCACACAATCTCCCACAAAAATCAATAAGACAAAGTGTATACATTTTTCTGAGACACCTGTACAGTATCTTCTTACCATACAGAACACAGATGTAGCGAGAGCTGGCACCATGGAGGAGGAGGTGGAGGCAGGTTTTGGTTGACCCACCAATAGTGCTGCCTCTGTTGATGCACCAGCAGCCAGCACCTCATCAGGGGGCACCGAGCATAAAAACTCAGCTTGAGGAAACGCATCTCCCACAAGTTGCTGTAAACGTGGGATTTTGGCCGACCCACCAGTCAGAATAACCTGCCAATACAACACATTTCATCATGTTTCCATCCACATTACAATACATTTAAACAAGAATTGATACAAGAAGACAAGACTCAAATGCAGTACACAATGATGCTACAATACATGAATGGATGGATGGATTTATAGGTCACTGAAATGCAACTTGTTAAAAAGCTTACCGGGTAATCCTGAGGTATTGCTGGTACAGTATAGAGGCAACATGTGTACCTCTCACTACTGTGGTTTGGGTTCAATCCCCAGCCCAGGTTACCCTGGTACTTGTGAAAAGGGTGTTAACCAGTGTGACACTACCAAACATGGCAGGTTTCTCCAAGTTCTCCTGTACTAACACTGGATAATGAGAGATAAAAGAACAGACCCAACTATTGAATAAATAAACTATGAAGCTAACAGCAACAATAAAAATACAAGGTTAGGGTACTGGTTATGCTGCACCACAAAATGAATCGACAATATAACATAATTTTACAGATTAAAGAGACTTACTTTCTGTATTTGATTCTCGGTGAGGCCGCACCTCTGAACAGCCTCCTTAGCTGACTGTAAGAAGGCCGTCAGTGTCGCCGTGACTATACCATCAAATCTTGCTCTTGAGAGTGTTGTGGAAAAATCAACTCCTTCCCACAAGGATTCCACATAAACCTGCAAGTACATCAAAAAACTTTGAACTCTTATTTCAGTTAAAAGCCTAAAAAATGTTGCAGATATTGCCCAGATGAACAACAAACAAATGGAGCAACTACTAAGTAACCCCCTTTCAGTTATTTTGTCCTTATGGCATAATTACTAAAAATATTCTATTTCCAACTTTTTTACAGTGAAGTATAAAACTATCTAGACTATATATCATGGTAGCCAGTTCTCTCTCAGGGTAATTTAAAGTCATTATTTTTTACTCCTTGATCATTGCATTGTGGCTTAAATAAGACATAAGTTCATCTTTAGGTGTCTAGTTACAGGGAATCTTAGTGTACAGCAAGAGAGATTAATGATCCATAACCAAGCTACAGGACTAACAATTATCACAACTCAAAAATATCTTCCAGCTGCCAAGGATTAATACCCAGAACTTTAATCCTAAAAGACCAACCTGAGCTGTTCCCATGGTGGAGAGAACGTGTTTACAGTTTTCGGCGGCATTATACAGTTTTCTTCTTGAGCGTCTATTCTCTAGGGGGTCACCTTTGTATTTCCTGAGGATCAAACACGAGAAAAATTTCAATATTTCACCCCATAATGCAGTGTCAAGACTAGTAGGATGGTGAGTACTGTTGAAATAAAATATACCTGCACACACACACACACACTGTATACAACAATACAGGAATCCCTAATTCTTACCAACTTAAGAACTGTATTTGCACTTATGTGATGTACTTTTTACTTATACCTGTACCAGGCTTATCTAGGAACAGAGCCTCACTATATATGAGGAGCACCTACATTTATCGTATATGTAAACTTTATCTTATACTGTTTACGGTTGGCTATTGGTGTATAAAAATTTGTATGAAATACTAAACACCACTACAAACACAATGAATGGTCTAACATACAGTACTGTTATCTTAATATATCTACATAACTGAAGAAATTATTTGTACACACTTCACAAACACAACGAGATCCCACAAGAAACCCTCCAGCTAACTCACGTGTAAAATTCCTTAGCAAAATGTTGGACGAGCACAGACGTGAGAGAATCTCCTGCTACAGTTGATGACGTGATGGATTCCTTCACCGTCACCAGGCCTCCTGCGACCTCTACCACCGAGCCAACGACGGTCGTACCTCCACAGTGAAGGACCACAACTTGCCTGGTGCAGAATAATTCACTCATTTACAAGAATATTAAGAAAAAATTATCTATAAAAATGTCACCAAGTGCTATATGTCATAATATAAAATGTGTGTGGAGTATGTGGCCATTTTTTCCTGACCACCGGCATTACTAAGAAAATTGATTTGGGCAAAAATACTGTACAGGGAGGGTGTAAGAATTAGGCTCTTATCATACATGCTACACAACATACAGTACACATGCAAAAAAATATACTGTATACAATCAGCATACAAGCACCGATTACACAGAGACTGTCGTGGGTCCTGTGTCAGTGTATAAAATCAAACACGCGACAGAAAGACTAACGCACACACAGTTTGGATCAGTCTACGTACATATTGCGTTTGTTATCGTCTGTGAGAGCGTAGGCCAGGACCGCAGCAGCTGGCTGGGAGACTGTGGCCAGAACGGTGAACGTGGCTTTCTTGGCAGCCTTCTTCACAGCCATGATGGTCCCTTCACTGCTCCAGGCCGGCACAGCGATCACCAGCGGCAGCTCTGGTTCACTGGTGTGGGCGCTGGCTATTTCTGAAGGACCACAATAACTTTAATTTCACTGCACTGTTCATAGGCAAAGAGAAATAAATGGCACGTTGAAAATATTTAAAGCAGAGAACAAGGATGGAGACATGGGGGTAAAGAAGAGGTAGAGGAGTGACGAGTCTTATATAGCATCAAACACAACTCATCTGGGGTGAGGATATATGGTAGAGTGGACATAATTCAGTTGTTAATGCTCCTAATATAAGCTCCTTCAAAAAGACAAACTTAAGGAGAAGGCATTATCAATATGTGAAGTACTGCTCACTAGAGATGGTACGGTACACAAGACATGAATACATATTAAGAATGTGGTTCCAGAAGTTAATGATGATGATGTGTGGCAACAAAAAGAGGACAGTTAAAGTACAATACAGGTACTTGGTAACAGCAAACCTTTCAGGAGTGAAAAGATGTGAGTGAGAACTTCTTCCGCCGACACCTGTACCATCTTCTCTCCTCGCTGCACTGAGTAGCGTGCCTGACCATTCTCCCAGTTAGGGGGACAAGAAGAGTTAGATGGACACATTCCCTCATCCTCAACCGTACCCACTACCCGTAACACGTTTTGCACTGTGTTTGTTCCATGGCGAATTATTCCCTGCTTGGCTGATATTCCTGTCACCTGTAACAAACACCAAACATAATTAAAGATGATCACAATATCTTACTTAGTGTTAGAGCACAGAAGGTGACTTGAGTATAAGGGCAACATTAAGTACTGTAGCTACAAGTAACCTGTACAGTATTGTGATAACTACTACACTTACCACTTCTACATCATGGAACGCGACAACGGCAGGAGTGACTCTGTCTCCGGCTGCGTTGGCTACCACTTCAAACTTCCCATCCTGTAGAAGATATAAGCACAGTAATTAGTTTAATAATTTAATAGGGACATGAACATTCGTGTCTTGATGGTGATGGAATATTGATCCTAGGCTGATGGGTAATAAGAACAATGAACAGTATAACTTAAGATGATAATTATTGATTAGTCTTTGGTAACAACTGTATAAAGGCAGTTAGATATATACTGTACAGTGCTCCAACGGATGACACCAAAATAGGGCGGCAAATTAATTCAGGGCAGGATGCAAATGCATTACAGGAGGATCTAAATAAACTGCAGGGGTGGTCTGAAAAATGGAATATGAAATTCAACACCAGCAAGTGCAGCGTACTTAATATTGGAAGAACAAATACTGTCAATGTATACAGCCTTAACAACATCATCCTAGAGAAGTCGACTTGTGAAAGAGACCTAGGGGTACTTGTAAGCCCGGACCTACGGCCTAGAAAACAGTGCGTTAATGTTCGAAATAAGGCAAACAGAGTATTGGGTTTTATATCTAGAAGTGTAAGTAACAAGAGTGCAGAGGTCTTATTGCAACTATATCTTGCGCTAGTTAGGCCGCACCTCGATTATGCGGTTCAGTTCTGGTGCCCCTATTATAGAATGGATATAAATTCACTAGAGTCGGTGCAGTGAAGAATGACAAAAATGATTCCGGGACTTAGAAACCTTCCATATCAGGATAGGTTAAAGAAACTAAACTTGCATTCCTTAGAAAGACGAAGAGTGCGGGGAGATATGATAGAAGTATTTAAGTGGGTGAAAGGAATCAACAAAGGTGATATAGATAAAGTTCTTATGATATCCGAGCAGGATAGGACTCGGAGCAACGGATTCAAGTTGGATAAGTTTAGGTTTAGGAGGGAGATAGGAAGAAACTGGTTCACAAATAGGGTGGTGGACGAGTGGAACAAGCTTAGCAACTTTGTAGTAAGTGCTGGAACTCTGGAAAGTTTCAAAAGGAGGCTAGATAGATTCATGGATGATAGAGAGTGGTAGTAACTCTCGACAGGAGCTGCCATGCACAGGCCAACCGGCCTATTGCAGACTCCTTATTCTCTTATGTTCTTATGTTCTTAACCACCCTAACCTAACCTCATCTATACCATATACCATATGAAAGGTCAGGTTGGACTCTCAAAGGTTCTACTGGTGTGTGTGTGAGTGTGTTCTAACCCCAGTTATCCCTCGTCACCAAAGCCCCGCCCACTATGAAAGAAATAAGCATTAACGCCAAAAAACAAAGGTCATATTCATTCAAATCTCAATGAAAAACCTGGGATAAAACATGTGAGTCAACTAGTCCAGCTCGGGCACAGTATGAGTCTACCTCAACAAGACCAACCACACCTCAAGCCTCGTGTACCAGCCACTCCCTAAGGCCACCACACACTCTACCCGAGGCTATCTACACACGTTCACTCATCTTACCAACAATAAGTCATAAATTAACGTACAATATTAAGATAATGAGGTCCGGTATTAAGAGTAAGGGAACTACCAAATTCCGATATTGCGCACACCTACACACATACGTACAGACACATACACACACCACTCTCTTGTACGTGACGCATTACTGTACCTTATTAACAGCAATACAACAGGAGCTACAGCCAATGTATATTCCAAATGTGACTGACATGGCACAAGTAAAGGGCCTCACTCACATGTGGCAACTGACTAATGTTTTGGTGGTGGCACAACTAATGTCACAAAGTTAACACGAACAACATCTATTAGTAATTTATTTGGTTTTGATTTTATAAAATAAATAATATTATTATAACTGAAATTAATGAACTCAATTTAATAACTAAAATTTTTGTTGGGATTTGGTTGACTTATATTGCCTGGAAAGCAATAAATATTTTCCGTTATTTAATTCGTGGTTTTATTTTAACATTAACTATGTTCATTTTGATCTATCGGTATATCTTGTATCTTCTTTCTTGTCCTTCATCAATATTAAATCATCAATCAAATATCTAGTCATCTATAAATCATAACTTGTGAATGGTTCATTACCAATCACCAATAAGTAAATTCCTACTTCTCAGATATATAATACTCATTCAAATAACGACTAATAATTGGCTATAGCGCCTGATTTACTAAACTAACAATCCAGTATAAAACTATATTATCTCTGAAACATAAAAGTTCTTTGATGCAAAAAACAAAATTCTAACAAAATCATCAAAATAAAAGAGAACCAACGGCCAGGTGGAGCTGAGGCGCTACTACTTCCTTGTGAGGATGATTACATTGATACTACTACTACTACTACTAATAATAATAATTTATCATGAAAGAAAAGTTTGTAGTCCAATGAATTACTAAGATTAATTTCGTTTTCTAAAACTGTGCTAAGAGTAAAAAAATAATTAAGTTAAGTCTCTGTCATTTTATACAACATACGCTTAATTACTCACCTTCTTCAATTCACAATAATAATCTAATAAACTAACTTTTAATAAATAAATTTAAGCTTAATCTATGTTTTAGTGACAATAAAATATAAACTTATTTATGGTAGGCGTCTTGCCTTACAACGAACTAGTGGGTTAGAGTCATGAAGCTTTTATATGAGACAGCGAGACAGTTACTGAAGCGGAGTGAAGCCTAATATATACAAGGGTCACAAATATGATTAAACAATACGAGGACAAGTTTATGTATATAGGACACTTTAAGTAAACGGTAAACAAACAACAAATTAAGTTTAAGCTCAAGATTTGAGTAAGAGAGTAGAGATACATGTATATAGGGTCCTGTATTTGATATCATAATGCATTACTTAGGTCATTAGTGCGTGTTTTAGTTTAGTAAATATGCTAATCAACAAAAATGAAAAATGAAAAGAGAGCTCAAGAAGTTAGGTAAAATACTTATCTCTGGTTCATGAGATAGTTCATGAAGCAATATGTTCATATAGTGTTAGAAATAGTATGCGAACAAAACCCTAAACTCATTGCTTAAAATAGACTAATTTAACATTTTAACCTAGTATAACCAAATATTAACAATAAAATAATCAAATAGTAGCTTTTAATTCAAATTGAATTGGTTTAATTGGGTTGTACTGCGCTACAACATGTAATTAATGGCCTTTTAAGATAACGTTCGTGGTAGTTATTTAACAAAAGTTTTACTCTCCGTTAGTTGCCTCTCACGGACTCGTCTCTTCACTGTGGGTGGACACGTTTCGTGCCTTGTGGCCTAAAAGTGAGTATTTTCACCTCTTTCCCACTTATATATATGTTAAGGGAGTGTCTTATATTGTGTAAAGGTCTTATATGTGAGGGCAAATATTTATATATAAGGACGCACCGCAAAATGAGGTATTAGTAGAGGTAAACACGTGTGTTTACGGTGCATATGACGCTTCAGGTATTATGACATGTTATTATACTTAAATATGTGTTATATGTACACTGTGAGGTGATAGGCGTAGATAAGTAACCCAGGATGTATCAGTATTAATGTTGTAAGTTAACAGTACATAACGATGTGCTCCTTATAGAAACATCTCCACTTTGGGTAGATAGATATTAGTAAAATCATCATTCAAGTTTAAGATTGATGCAGTATGTACTGTATATATATAATGCTGGTTTGTAATGTACTCATGAGTGTAATTATACAATCACTGTATACCTAGACTGTGAAGGTATATAATCTTCACATACAGTAGGTAGAGTTAGTGAACTCCGACAGGTGCCTCTATGCTGGTATGTTATAATCTCGATTTTAACACAAACTGAATTTCACCATACGAAGTGGCTCCATAGCTATTGTGGCTACCCAGCCCACAGGCATCGGGGCTATATTAGAACCCGAAATTAACATGGTGGGCAGTTGCTGCATGGTCGTTGGGTATTTAGCTCGTTAAATGAAATATTAAAGTACAGCGCATTACTGCTTTCCATTTTATGGTTTTTGGTTTCCGACAGTTTAGGTTAGGTTTGCTCCTCGACAAACATGTCATTGTAATGCAAAATGCGGAATGAAATGTATTCTATTCTCTGAGAATGTGATCACACAGCCTGTGGGCGAGTTAGCTGCAGTATTACAGCCACAGAACCACTCTGTTCTCCACAACTTGTCTTGGCAGCACTCAACAGCTTGGATGAACTGTGCTTTTACAATGTTTCCTGGGAATGAGTTCCACATGCCTGCTATCCTTTGTGTAAACATATACTGTACTTCTTTAGGTTGATGCTACACCTCTCCTTCCTTAATATTAATGTAAGTCTTCATGTTGCTGCATTTAACCAGAATATTAACCACACTAAGGCTGCCTGAGGGTTAGGTTAGGATAGGATTAAGAAGGTTAATATAATGGTGAAATAAGCTGAGGTGTATAATCTTCAGGTGATCCAAAATGCTCTTTAACTTTATTCACTCCTTTCTGATGCATCAAATTTGATCTGTACTTTCCATGTTATGTGACAGTACTGTACTGCCTTATTATCCCTACTGTTGTAGTGTGTCTTTTATTTATTGTTTCTCAGTGAATGTGATAAAATCCTGATACAGTATATGAACATTTTGAGGTGAAATTCAATAGTTCATCTTCTTGAATAATTGTTTCTGCATTGAAGTCAGAGAAAACGTACTTAGAACCACCACCAAGTTTCATGATATGATTCTCCTATCATCAGTGGGTGTTAGTTGTAGGGACGGTGACCATCAGCATAATGCATGTTCCTGGTGTACTGTATTCCGTTTTGCTAATTAAAGATCATTATTCTGTCTGTTGGGCACATTAGTTGCAGGTACAGTTGTCTCCCTTGCTCGGGAAATGATTGATAAGGCTATTTCCTAGGACAGTACAGTAAACCCTCCATAACTCTGCACATATGGGGTTCTGGCCTTGCCGAATTATTCCAACTTATCGGGCCACTTCCTCCCTCCAAAAAAAAATTTATTGACCCATATACGTATATGTACATGTAATTAGTAAATGTAAAAACGTAACACTTACCAGCATTGCAGGCAACATAGTAGGTGACACAGGCATGGTAGGTGCTGCAGGTGGCCAGATATGCCGAGATTTTCCCAGATAATTTTATATATCAGCATTTCCCGAGTTAAACTATTCCGTGACCGTATCCATGCCAAGTAGTACAGTAATATGAAATTCCGAGTTATCGAGGGTTTACTGTGCAGTATTTGTACTAATATTCAAAAGTGTGTGATATATTACAAAAAAATATTTCAAGCATAATTCTTTTACAGTATACATTATGACATATCTACAGTATTTACCATATTGCTTTCTGCCAGAATAAGGCCAAGATACAACAGGCTGATGAATATTGTTAAAAGTAGAGAACAGGTACAGTACAGTACTATATTTGTTCAGCTTTGAATAATTATTTTTCAGTACCAAGAGTATGCGTTACGTTGCTGCTTACTGCCTTGCTGCCCTCGGTTGCAGCCACCCCTCAGTTAAGGACATTGAAAATATTCTTGCCGCTGTGGGCATTGACTGTGATGCTGCTCGAGCCAAGAAAGTTGTATCTGAACTTGAGGGCAAGAATCTAAACAGTGTGATTGACGAAGGTAAGTACTGTACTGTATTGTATTGGTAGTGAAGATCTGTACAGGACAATAATTTCTTTTGAGACTGAACTAAATATTTTTGGACAATATGTTACTTTTGTTTAGCAGTATGAGATGATATTGATGCTGGCTAGGTTTTCTTGTGTGTACAGTACAAGTATATTCCTTTATGCAGGAGCCTTTGGTCTGTGGGGAAGAGTTAGGTTCCTGGTATATTAGGAAAATGGTCAATGTTTAAAATTGACAACAATAAAATATATGCTGGAGGGTGAGGAGAGCTGGTGATGCTTCCTCAGCCTAGTCTCTTCCTTATGTATTGTTTGGTTGATTATTAATGTACTGTATTAACTTTCAGGTATGGGTAAAATTGGAACAATGCCAATTGGAGGTGCTGCCCCTGCTGGAAGTAGTGCTGCCACAGCTGCAGTGAAGAAAGAAGAGAAGAAAGAAGAAAAGAAAGAAGAAAAGGAAGAACCTGAAGAAGAGTCTGATGATGACATGGGCTTCGGTCTCTTTGACTAAGATCATTGATACAAAATAAATTGTATTTTCATTTATTGTATCTCTTGAACCTCTTTGTGAGAACACATGCCTTCTAGAACATTTCCTGCATGGGACAAGCACACTCATGTGAAGCGGGCCGTAGATTAGGGTAGGGTGATGCTTTACCACTCCTGTGTTGCAGTATCTTTATTTTTAATTTTCGCCACTTGCCAGCATTTTGGGTGGTTAGTCTATGTCTATCTAGTGTTAGTACAGGAGGAAATCGGAGGCTGGGAAAACTGCAATGTTCGGGTGGGTCACACTGGGTAACACCCCTCCAGCGTGATCTTACCAAACACCGATTGTCATATTAAACAATGCTGATTTCCTTCTTGGCTCAGCTGAGCACAAATGGCTGTGGCCTTTAAAGTTTTTCAATGTATTATTTCTAATAAGTAAACCTGGAGAATGAGCAGTCTGAAATTGTTTTTAATAGTTTATTATAAAACTTATAAAAGATTTCCTTACATTATTCAGGAGTGTTGTGTGTAAGTTGTTCATAATGAAGACCTTATGGTGCAGACGGCATCTTCATTATTTCAGTGTTTGATTCATTGCAGAATAAAAAACTTATAAAGTCACTTGCTGCTTCCAAACATGGATCCTGCAAGAAAATATAAGGAGTTATTAAGATTACTGGGACTAACATTCACATCTACTAAAGGTGTTGAGGAATGCCTTTAGATAGATGTGTTCAAATAATAAAAACCTTATAAAATGTTAATACAGTAAATACAACAAAACCCTTGATTTCCTGTAGTAATCCAGGCACAGCACAATGGACTTTTAATAATGTATATAAATGAAATTTGGGTGAAGTAGATGGTATGGGTCCTAAATGTAGCCCTCAACCTGGGTGCCTTTTGTCCTAAAACTTGGCCAAGTACACAGCCATAACTTATGAAATGTTTTTGTTAGTCATCATTGGGCCTGGGGATATTTTACTATAATATGTTATAAAATAGTTTAGCAGTTATGAGAGGAAGCAACACACTTCTCAGAGCAGCGTGTCAACCAGTAAGTGTTGTACAATGATTACCGCTTGGTCCAATAGCGCCAGTTGTAAACACTTCCCACAGAATGAGTTGTGTTTTTTCCATTGGTGCTAACTCTGAGGTGAGATTGAAAATATTCCTGTTGTTGACCTTTGATGTGGTCATGATACTGACAGTATACAAGTGCTGACCTTGACAACAGCAGATGAAAATGGTGGAGCAAGATGGCACCAATTATGTAGCTGATCCATGGTGGAGGTGGAGGTGGTGCTGAGAGAACCTCCAGGGCATTCTCCACCATACAACTGGCAAGCTGTAATCAAATTTGTTAATGGTAAATAAAAAAATAAATCCATTAATAATTTTTGGCATAAGCCTTCAAAATTTATATCCAAGGGATTACAAGTATGCAAGTATATGAATTCTTTTAGGGATAACTTTTTTATTTACATTATTAAAAATTTTACCTCTGTCAGGAGACTTGTTAACTTGGTGTTGGTGTGTGACCTGTGAACCACCACCCTGGAGGTCACACTCGCACTCTAACAAGTCATGTGTCAGGCACATTGTCTCACAGTGTATTGTGAAAAGATCCTGTGTGGATATAAAATACAGGAGATCTCAAAAAATTTATACACACTACCTCACACATTTTCATGGGGGATCCTTGTATTACAACAAACACTGTCCTCACTTGTGGGAGGCCTTGCAGTTTATCAGACCCAATATAAGTTGTAATTTGCTAAAAAAAAATTGAAAAGATGGAATTAGCGTGCTGCTATAATGATGCCTTAACATGTGGCTTATGTTATACTAGGAATGTTTTTGTGCTGAGTAAACAGTTTCCCTAATGGTTCCTCATACTAATGCAAATTTCCTTAGGTGCAAACTCATGTTAAATGTGGACTACCTGTAATTACTGTGCATTTATGATTGATTTTTAGGGCTGCAAATTTAATGCTTGGAATGCATCTCAATTTATCATATGACAGTCTGTAGGAAAATATGTCTCACTTAACATAGTGCAATTACAGTGCCTGTCAAGCAAAAAGTATTGGGACCAAGAAGCTTCTGTAAAATGGATAATTAGGTAAGGTGGTTACTGTCATGAACACAAGGAAAGGTAATAAACCATTGTTTGGTTCTATTATTAGTTTCTACAAATACAGTACTTCATCATTCTCCAACACTCTCAATGTTCTCAAGTCTACGAATAAAGTTTCAATGTACCAACATTCTCCTACCATCACTTACTCTTGAAACTAACATCAAGACTAAGTAGACTTCCCACCACACACACACCCAGCCAGTTGCCTGAAAGTTCCATTTCTCCTCTAACTATTAAGTAATATGTGGAAAATTAAATAAAAGGAAATTATCCTATATTCTTTAACCTTCATATGTATTTACATTACAGGGTACAGTACACTACTCATGTCTTTTGTAAAACATTTTATTTTGCGAAGTAAAATTTCAGTCGACAGTTACTCTTAATATTGTACTGTACTAATTCTTATTTATACAGGGACTATCTTAAATGGAGTATATACCTGTCTGTTGAATTACCTTAATCTGGTAAAAGATAAAATTAATTTCAGAAAAATCAATTTGTTATTCACACCAACCTTGAGTTCTTCAGTCGAAAAGTGGACCCTGTCAGTGTCCCGAGCATCCACCACAGCTCCACTGAGCCCTTGTTTCTTTACTTGTCGTTGATACATCTTCTCATCCATTGATCCAGTCATTAATAATCTGGAAATACATTAAGAACGAAGGCATATTTTCAGCTTCAAACAACATGGTAAAGGTGATTTAAAAATGGCAGGCACAGTGTAATGGACTTTTAAATACCGTATACATAAACAAACCATCAGACTCGCCTATATATGTAGACCTTTCTCTTCTGGCCGTCCCTCCAGACTCGTGCCATAGCTTGTAAGTCGGTGGCGGGGTTCCAGTCAATGTCATACAACAGAATTCTTGACGCTCCGATCAAGTTGAGGCCAACCCCCCCTGCCTTTGAACTCAGTAGAAACACAACTGAAAAATAAAAATTAATTCATGCTTGCTTAAGGTGCTGCTGAAATACTGTACAGGGTACTCTTAAACTTTCCTGTCATCTTTACACCTCTCCAGGCTTCGTGGATCACAGGCTACACAAATTTCATAGAAGAAATGGTGACAGGAGAGGAATAAGACAACCAGTAGAAATACTAAAGAAATACCTGGTTCATATGCTCAATTGCATACACAGTAAACATAGAATTTTAATATTTAATGGATGTACATAAAGCAAAGTATATGAAACCTCTACTATGCATCTATAACCTGCAGGCATACTTTTCAAACATGATTAACAACTCATATAGGACACTATAAAATGTCGTGTCTTACAGTCTTTAGAATATTTGCTGTTAAATCTGTCCACCAGCTGTTGACGTTTGTTAGTTGGCGTGGATCCATCCAGCCTAAGGTAGGGGTAGTTGTAGCGCGTGCAGAGGGCGGCCAGCATATCTAATGTGGTGGTGTAGTTTGATACCAGGACGATCTTCTCTGTTCCTGGTTCTCTCAGTGCCCAGAGGATACATGATACTACTGCTAACTTGCCACTGTCCTGTTAAAGCAAACACACACATTTAACCTAAACAATTATGTTAGGTGAGCTGGATCAAGGGTACATATATCTCGGTGAAGGGATTAAGTGATGACAAAAACATTAAAGAAAATAGGAAGAAAATATGGTATTACCCCTTCATCATATACTCCAGGCTGTATGTGAGGTGGCAGCAAATTGGCAGCTTCCTGTACTACATCACTCTTGTTTTCTTGATCCTTGTCAGCAGCTAATAAGGCAGGGTGGTTGCACAACTTACGTAAAGCTAAAATGGCAGATAAGTTATCTCCTGGTTCAACATTACTGAAACACTTCTTTAGGCTCCGACAACCTACCAAATCCATATATACAGACACCTGTGTCTCTGATGGCTGACAGAACACCACAAACTCTACTTTGGGTGGCAGGTATCTGAAACAACAGAAGAAATACTAAGACTGGCTGGGACAGTGAAAAAAATATTGGAAAATATTGAAAACATAATACAGATTGACCTTCTCTTATCCACTACTCCATCAACTGGCAACTCTCAATTAACAGCAGTTTTGGTAAACCTGACAAAGCAAGACTAGTTCAAAAACCCTTTTAAAAGAGGTAACATCAGATTTACATAATGTGTGAAAGGTCAAAGAAAAGACATCTTCCAATATCCAAAAAATGCTTTGAAAATATATTGTGACAAGCAACTCATACAAGAATTCTACCAGTGGCCATCTCAAAAGAACAAAACTACCATTATCAGATGTACCATTTATGGAAGCAAAATAATACAACTTGTGCCACCCCAACAGGTGTTCAAAAGCTTTCAAATGGCAAAGAGGATAAGGAAGTAAGCATCATAAAACTGAACCACTGTCTACTGGTACCTGTTGATGATATCCTGAGTGCGTCGGAGGATGAAGAGAGATGTTATTTTATTCAGCTGTGTGGCTCGGCTAGCACCTGAGGCAGGGTATCAGAGTATATAAATTACAGTTACCTGGTGGATGTGACTACCATAGTTAAGTGAACAGTGTCTCTAGGTATAATACTGTGTAAATATATATATAGGAAAGAAAATAACTGTGTGTGTGTGTGTGTGAAGATGACTGAATGAACAATTATAAAGGACAATGCATGAATGAGTGAAGAAACACATGTGAGGGAAGGTGACACAATGAAGAAGGTTCACTAATGATAACTCACTAACTATGTCCTCAACAGTTTAAACATATATCAGACTACAGATATAAACAAGTGACAGCCACAATTTAATACTTCATAACTTACCTAATTCCTTTTCAGTCTGTGAGGCATTTGGCTGTTGGGAAGCGATTATGGGATCCTCGTATATGTGACGGAAGGACAACGATGATCCCAACACTCCTGGATTCACAAATTCCACGAGAGCAAACAACTCCTGCGAGACACACACAAGAGAGAGTCCTGTCATGTGCATTTTTGTTTTCATCTATTTTATTCCTAATGAGACGAAACAAAAACAAAATTGATATGTTAATTGTTCTTGTGTGTTTCTTTTTACAACATACGTGCAAAAAATTTGGATCAACTGAAAATTTGCTGCTGTCCCTAGCTTTTGGTACCTTAAGGTTAACCACCCTAATGCTAACCTATCCTAACCACCCCAAGTAGCATTAGGGTGTTTAATCATCAAGTGAAATAAGTTGGGGGGGGAGGGGGTAGCAGCTAATCTTCAGGTGATCCCAAAATCCTCCATCTCACCTGCAGATCATTTTGCACCGGAGTTCCTGTAAGTATGACCCGCCTCCTGCACCTCAGACCACCCAGGAGGTGCGCAGTCTTGATGTTGGTGTTTTTCAGACGGTGTCCCTCGTCACACAGAACCAGATCAAAGTTGAGGGCCTCAATAATTTTAGAACTACGCACAAACATTTCATACGAGATAATCATGATCTCCGAGTGCTTCTGCTTCTCAAACTGCTCAACCTGGAGATAAATGCACCATTCGTTCACAAGAAAGAATGCACTGTTTCCATTTACTCAGAGATATATAATTATAAGGTATTATACCAGAACCTAAACAATTATATAGTAAAGTACAGTTTATATATACATAGGTCTCTTGTCTTGGATTACTACTACAGTATAGTAAAGGCCTCTTTCAGTAAGGTTATTCTTTTCCTTGGGTACTCATGATAAAGTGTGAGAGGAATAATAACATTGAAAAGATAGTAATCTGGTTATCGTTTCCATTTTTCAAGAAGTTAGTACTGCAAGAGAATTCAATGTGGAAGTACGGTACATATCTCACATATACTGTACAGTCCAATATGTTACCAAGAGTTAACTAATGAAGTAAGACCTGGCTGTGAACATGACTCCAAGCTTCATTAAACTTCCTTTGACCACAGCTGTGACAACTACTATACTGATAAAATTTGAGGTAATGGAGGAGCCTAAAACTCAAAACTGTGTGATGATGAAGGTACTGTATTGTCAAAATCTACATTAAATTGTTCAATGTCACACTTATTACTAAATATCATAGTTTGTCTTAGTGGTGTTGAAAGGAGTCAGTGAGAGATTTTGTAGAGATGAAGATGTCTGTTGTCTCACAATGTAAAATTTATTTTGAGTTACTGGGGCAGTCTCAATGATATATGTATGGGACTCAATTGTCTGCAGAAGAATGAAATGAATATGTAATAAAAAAAAAATGTTGGATTGAGTATGAACTCCTGAGAAACCCAAGAAGTGATGAAATGTTAATATGAAAAGAAACATTTCATAATGCCATACACTGTAAATGATTATAAAAGAATAAATGAAGAAAACTCAAGGAGAAAGACCACAAGTAAGGTTCAATGGTAAACTGTCAAAAGCTTTGGAAAAGTCAAGAGTCAGCAGATGGGTTTTGCAACTGCAGTCTATTGATTGATGGATGAGAAATTAGCAGTAGAGGGCTCAACATAAACACTATACTGTATTGTACTCCTGATTACTGAATGATCTGTAATACTCGAGCTGTTTGGGGATATTGTTTACTGTTTTTATGGCCGAGACATAAATAAATTAATGGCACCTATATTGTACCTTGTTGTTTTGATCCACGATGTAGACGTTGACTCTCTCTCTGCCCAGCCATTTAGAGAACTCTTTACTCCAGTTGTTTGTTAGACTAGAGGGAGTAACAATCAAAACTTTCTTCACAACTGATCTTCCACCATAGGGACCCTGTTGAGAAATAATTACATTCAGCGTCCGCTTAATGCACGGCCGACGGGCAGTATATGTACACTGGGGGGATTCAAAAAGCTTTAAAGCTTTCTTTCCCCATCTGAGGTAAATTAAACAAACCTCTGCTCTCCTCACTCACCTGCTTGAGTAATGTCCACACCAAGGTAATACACTGCAGTGTCTTGCCAAGGCCCATTTCATCAGCTAATATTGCCCCATAGTTATCTAAGTGCCTGTAGCCCATGATGCACTCGTACAGGAAGATGACGCCTTCCTGCTGGTGGGGCCGCAGCTGTCCACTAACGTGTGGATCTATCACCACGTCCACCACCGCCGCTCCGCCACAGTTGTTCTTCCACTGTCAATGCCACATAATTAATTAATGGAAGTGCTGGTGGTACAGTGGCTACATGTCATTGGGTTCAATCCCCGGTCTGGGACAGATATGAAAAGGGTGTTATCCTGTGTGACCCAGGCTTTCTCCATTGTTTCCTCCTGTACAAGTGATAATAAAGTAACAAAGAAGACCAAGTGTCTGGATGGCTAATAAGCTGGTAAGTAGTGAGTACAGTACATAGCAGATGACATAATACCTGATGCTGGGATGGAGGGCTTGGCATTACAAGGGCATCAGGTTTTGTAGGGTCAAACAGGGGACCAACGGCAGTGTTAGTGTTCTTGTCTTTAGGACGACCCAGAGTAGGGAGACGAAAAGGCTTTGGCTTTGGTGGTTGGCTTCTTTTTTCCTGGGCCTCATCTATGTTCTGAAGTACAGGTATTTGTCCCAGAAAGCATTCCCCTCTGGCATAGCTCTCAGCACTAATGGTTCCTTGAATCTGAAATGATATGTATTAATACCTGGTAATATATCGACTAATGCAGGGGTTCTCAACCAGGGGGGAATTTCCCCCCTCAGGTTTTCAGGGGGAAGTGATACTAATATGGAAAAAATAAAGGATTTTCAGTATTATATGCATATTATTTGGAATGCACTTTTTGAGGCAGACAATCTTGAAAAGGAGGGGGGAATGACATTCTGAAATATGGTGAAAGGGGTGCATGGGGCAAACAAGGTTGAGAACCACTGGACTAATGGGACATAACTGACAAAAACATTAAGGAATAATACAAAAAAATTTCAAAATCTTCTTGTTATATACAAACACACACACATATTGTATTCCACAGATGTCCATTTTTATTTATGGATGCACACAAAATAGGAAAAGAGCGATACAAAGAGAGAGAAAAGGGGAAGAGAGAGATTATTCCCCTGAAACAGAGCACAAATTCAAGCTACAGAAATGAGTTACCTGGAGTATGCACAGTTCCTTACAGCCTACAGGATGATAATTATCTTACACACTCACCTCAACTTCCTTACCGCCTCCTACAAGAAGAGTACTTCCTTCCTCCAAAGATGATAAGTCTTTCAGCTTGTATCCTGTTCTTCGACCAATCTCCTTTCCCTCTGTGTCCTGTAAGCCAACTGAAAATCAGCCAAATTCTTCATGACTATACAGTATTGTATGCAGAAAGGTTGCATGTGATATATAAGGAAAGGCAGCCAGATTTATTAGAACTCATCCAAGGACCTGGTCATTATGGGCTAAAGTGTCCACTGACATGAAAATTATGTGGCCTTTTCATTAAACTTTTAGTGGGTGTTGGCCTTTCAGTTCCCCCAGTCTCAGATGCATGAAATGATATACCTATACTGCTTCCCTAATTCTCACTAAAACAGAACTAAAGATAAATTATTGCTAACCAAATATCTGGAAGATTATTTATGTCATATCCTCCTCCTTTCTCAGAGTAAATAAACAATTAAATATACAGTATATTACATGGCATTGACAGGCCCAGCCACCTCCCCAGATTGTCATTGGTATCTGCTCAGCCAACACCAAGACCACCTTCACATTAGCACCCTCCAAATACTGTACATCTAATTTTCCTGATGCTGATGACAACTCGACACCCTGGGATATTGTTCACTCTCTTCTACAGGCTCTGGAATCTTGCACACATGTTGAGGTCATCACTAATAACTGTAATGCCTCGTATAATGTAGTTAAGTATTTTATAGGATTAACTGCTTGGGGAATACTTTTTTGGCTGTTGTATATCAAGAATATTCCATACATGCTTTTTAGTTACAACAAGGGAGGTACATCACAGTTGGAGAGAACAAGTAGTATTTCTTACCTTGAGGATGACAGATCTGCTCTTCACAATCAGCACTGCGTCACCTTCCCAATTTTTGTGTTTTTTTCGAGAAAATTTACACCAAACTACAGAGTAATATCTGAAACATCGTAAAAACATAAATAAATAATGTAATACAGTAGTACAGGTAACTTGTAATATTTGTTTTAAGAGTTCCAGCAAATTGTTCATTTCATAAAACACATTGTAATATCTCTTTTTCTTTGACCCAAACATTTATATTCTGGTTGACTTTTTCCTATACTTTAAAGTAGGAAGTTTCTCATATAAATACTGTACATTCATTTTCTTTAAACTGTGCAAAAAAAATTTTTATTCATGAAGTGTAGCACATGTCCCAGCAGACCTCCTCATGATGGTGTCTGGTGGAGTAATGCTAGAGTGATCTGGTGACTCACTTAACTGCCTGAGCCTCCTGGTTCTCCTCTTGTGCTGGGACAACACTGCGGCGGTGTCCTGGGATCCCCTGCGGACCCTTCCCAACCCTGGCATACCCACCTAACATTCTTGATGCTGTACCAAGTTGTTGTGCTGGGAATCTTTTATTGGCATCACCAGTAGACCTCAATGTATTACTATGAGTCTCTCTTAAAGGAGACAGTACAGTGACTGAGTCTGTTGGTGCATTTTCTTGTCCAGTATCACACTCTGGTACACCATTACTGCACTGCCTCACACAACTTGTCTCTGTTATGGTTGATGGTTTCTTAATCAAGGAGAGGATGTCAGAGGAACTGCGAACTGGTCCATCTCTCACTTTCACGTTATTTTCTACAGTTTGAGGTAATGCACTGGCTTTTGGTACATCTGAAAGAAGAATAAAATCATAAGCCTGAAAGAAACAAATATACAATGCAGCAAATTTCCAGTTTTTCTAGATACATTATAGCCAAAGACTGAGTACCATGTAGCCTACTTGCATATGATGAAGTGTAATGTTAATGTGTATAATAACTGACATCCTCCACCAGGGTTGGGTGCTTTAAACCTGTGGTGTAAACTATGGAAAATAGTAAAAATTATTACTGTACTAAATCATCCTGATTTATGTTTATGATTACAGAAAAAATAAAAATATATAAAGGGCTAAAAATATTTGAAGCTTATTAAATCCAACAAAATAGCATTAACCCCCCCCTCCACCCACCCACCCACCCCCCCAAAAAAAAATATTATTATTTTTTGGTTAAATAAAACCCAATGGTTTTTGTTATAAAAAAGTGTTTTTTGCCAACCCTGCTGTGCCCATATGTTTTAAACCACCTTTGTATACATTTTCTTAACAATATAGACTATCTTCACCAAAAACACACACGTTAGTTTTTACTTTCCCCAAAAATGTCGCTTGAGGTAAAAAATTCGCCTGACCTAATACCTTGTGTTTCGGCACTTGGGGTAACAAATTGGATTTTGTACAGCGTTGTAAATGTGTCAGTTACTGGTACTTCTTGCCCATCCTCTATAGCTAAACAGATATTGGGATCACCTGAAGAATCATCGCCCCAGCTTATTTCACCTGAAGGTTAACTACCTTAATGTTAACTTAACCTAACCTAAACCTATTCTATCCTAACCTAAGCCTAACCTAACATATCCTAACCTAACCTCATCCTCCCAAAATAGTTTTAATATGGTTTAATCTTTAGGTGAAATAAGCTGGGGCGATGATTCTTCAGGCGATCCAGATATTCTCTCGACCACGTAACACATACATCTTATTCCGTATTTCCCAGGAGTCAAGACATTCTTCAAAATGGCCACGTGTAAGGAGTAGAGAAGGAAAAGAGGAAGGAGGAGGAGAGAGGCAGTGGTGAAGAGGATAAAGATAAAAAAAAGAGAGAAAAGAAACGGGATGGAAGAGGGAAGGAATAGATTCATGCGATATTCCTGTTTCACGATACTTGTTTGCTAAGTCCTGGCAACCGTCACTGTCAGCACATGCAGTACCCTACCCTTCCTCGTCGACCATCAATCACGATCATCGCCAAAACAATTCTAAGTGCTCCATTTGCCTCATATTTGTACTGTATTAATTCTCAACATAATCATCCTTACTGTACTTCTATAAACAATCCTTAGTTCTAAATGTTCTAAAAAAAATGGTACAATATTCAGAGTTATTACTGAACTTGAACATAAAGAACAAAATTATGAACTCTACTCATGCTAAGACTCATATAAAAATCCCTATTGATAAAATTAGAAAAATGTGAGATCAGTATACAGTATAGTACAGTATATTACCATCAGTGTGTGTGTCCGGGCATCGTCGCTTGGCAAATGGTGGCGTGAATAATGTCCTCTTGTGCAGCAGCTGTGAGGGAGCCGCTGACCGCCTCATCTTCACCACCACCTAAAACACTGCAACATAAATAAATTAATAAATAAATAAATAAATAAGAGGACGTATAATCACATTCAGCTAGACTAATAATGTTTAACGTTAGGTGAAGCTCAAATTTACGTTGGTCATGTCAAGTTAAGTTAGGTTAGGTTAGGTTAGGTTAGGTTAGGTTAGTTTAAGAATGATTATATAATGTTGTTTAATTACTTGATTTACTTTATTCTCACAGTGGCCCGAGAACTGCAGCTCTGTACAGGCAGGTGTTTGTCACATGTTACCTCCTGCCGCGGTAACACCCACCAGTTGTGATGTACTACACTATAATATAACTTTCTCTTCTATAACATCATATAAATAGTGTTAAATACTTAAATATCCTTCAGCTTTACCGGTAATGATGGTGACAATAGTAAGGAACACTTTATGCCGCCTTCTCCTCTCTTTAAACACTCGTCTGTAAATGAAGGAAACATGATTATTAAAGTTACAACAAAAATATTGACAATTATTACAGTATAAAAAATATTATATTATTTTTAGTATACAATTTGTGATTGAATAAAAATAAAATTAGGGGAATATATATATATGTTCAGTATAATTTGAGTAAGTTGAATGTTCATGAGTCCAGCGGCAAATATGAATGATTATAAAGACTGATATTGACTATTTCGTCAATTATCAGCTTAATGGTCATTCGGGCGGTTGTTATCTATTTTGTATAACTTTTATTGTCCAGTGTTAGTACAGGACAACATGTTAAGTAATGTCAAAGTACATTAGAAGTATATGTAACAACAGACTTTCACCATCTATCTCAGGACAGTAATGATGGCAGAGTCATTTTTTAAGATAATTTTATTTGAATTTAAATATGAATTGTGTAACAAACATAGATAATAGATGGTTATATAAATCATGTTTGTAGTATGTAATGACGCCTGTTAAACAAAAGGCTTTCCGAAATTCAAACTTTAATAGCTGCATAAGTGTACCAATGGGTTGCTGAAGTCCTCTGAAGGAGACACAGTATCATATGTTCTGCTCTTTCCCTTCAGCCTCAAAATGGTGGCTTACTTGAAGGTGTTTTGTAACACTCAATCACTAGCCTTTTACATGACTGCTTTCACCTTCATCTTACCCAAGTTTCTGAAATGTGTATATATAATGTACTGTACCATTGTTATGTTACTGTACTTATAACTATATACGTGTCTTACTGCACTGTATTGTAATAGCCCCACAATAATGGTCCCAGTATGATGAATGGTCCCGGTATGATGAATGGCCCCAAGAATGGTCCCAGTATGATGAATGGCCCCAAGAATGGTCCCAGTATGATGAATGGCCCCAAGAATGGTCCCAGTATGATAAATGGCCCCAGTATGATGAATGGCCCCAAGAATGGTCCCAGTATGATGAATGGCCACAATAATGGTCCCAGTATGATGAATGGCCCCAAGAATGGTCCCAGTATGATGAATGGCCACAATAATGGTCCCAGTATGATGAATGGCCCCAAGAATAATACTGTATTCCGAAGGATGATTTAGGCTCACAATTTTCTATCACTTCTTCACAGCCAAATTGTCTCATGTTAATGAAACAAATATCTCAATGATGATAACAGTTTATTAATGTCACTGAAAAAGACGTGACAAAAGTACATCAACACACAATAATAATATTAACCAAACTACAGGTACCATAGTTGTCTTTGGATGAATAAAGTTAACTGTTTGTGTACACGACAGATAATGTGGTATGGAAAATTTAAGATAACAAATGGAGGGACAGATAAAGGCACGACCAACCAATGCCACAAGGGGACTGGCTGCTAGGCTCCATCTTAACTGATCAGCCACAATGGTATACAGTCCTCCATCTTTCTCAAGTAATTCCTTGACCTCAATGTACAGTGAACAAATTAATACATATCAAGAGCTGTATAAATTTTGTTTATCCTTAAAAAGACTTAGCCATACCATCTCTCCTTTTCAACTTTATAAAAGGCAAATTTGTAAGGCAATGTATACAAAATAATACAAAGACATATGGTATAAATAAATGTCTGTCAACTTAAAAACATGCAAACAGGAAGTCCTTATTATCAAGAGGATTCTCTCTGACAACTCCTGCATCGCATCAAGCTAAATTGTCATAACAAGTCTCTCTCCTATATTAAAAATGGCATCCAGGTAAGCATGTACATGTTCTCCCTGTCACGGCCGTGCATCAACTGTTGTTTCTTCTCTACTCGCATCATTTAATGTCTAACCTGACTTATCAAATGAAATATTTTTTTATTTCTGGATACAATGTCTTCTTAGTGAAACATTGGTGGGTCTTTTAATCTTAGTCGTGGAAAGCAAATTGCGATAAATCAAAACTGTGATACCGTATGCAAATCAGAGATAATGACTACTGTACCTGTATTCTGGCAATGAAATATGAGTTTTAAAAGTCTATGTGCTTTGAATTATGTGCAGCCTTTCTTACAAATTCATCAAAGCACTTCATTACTGACTCAACACAACACATTTTCACTCTTCTTTCATCCATTCTCTGGTTTTCTCTACAATTCTCTCCCTTTATTTTTCCTCTTCACACTGTCACAGCAAATCCAATCTCTCTTCACTGGTCCTGCCCTTTATAATAACTATTCTCCCTCCAGCCACTTGGCAGGAATCCTTTACCCAAATACCTTGGACTTTATTTCAGTTTGATTTTCAGATATTTTCAGTTTTTGGACCTCGGCTTGCACAGAACACAATAAACTAACCTATACAGTAGAAAATTCTGAACCAGACCTCAAATCTGAACAATGCAGTTTTTCTGCTTACACCACCGCTTCCCACATATTGTATCCAAGATATATTTACAGTGAACATGATTATATTTAGTTAATCTTCAATACTGTATGTGTTGATAATGTTCTCTAAGCCACGAACACAACCACTTTTTGCCACACATGGTTAATGCTGGTTTAGATAATGTACTTTGTGACATTTAAACACTAAACATCATACTGTTTAGGCATCTTATATTATTGTAACTAAAAATTTGGCAGTGATTAGTATGAGCATATACTGTACATATGTGGGTGACATGTTAAGATGTGTGGAGACAGCAGCACCTGACTGTCCCTACCAACTGTTCTGCAGACTTGACCTGCATTTATCTACACAGCACTAATACAACTTATTGTATCTGTTATGAGCTTCTCTGTGGTCTTTGATGTAGTTTAATATACACAGGGTTTGACTTAGGCCCATCATGTGATCACACAACATTGCATAGTACAGTGGTGAAAAGATGTACAGTACAGTATACTGTAGTACAGTTCTTACACGTACAGCTGTACGACATCTCACAAACCTTACTATTGACACAAGAGTTTATTAAAACACTGTATGTGAAATAATCATATTCGAATATCTTTGCCCTTTCATCCAACATACCCAGGATTATATACCTTCATCCTCACACACAGACAGGTCCATTCAAAGAAACATTCTGCTTATGGATCTTTTTGCTTTTCATAATTATGGGTAAAGGATCCTTGACCTGTAATAAAACATCAGCACAAGCTCCCATCTCCTGCATTTTTTATACCACTTAATTGTAGCCAGCTGTTGAAATTCCCGATTTAATAGTAGGTATTTTACAGTATAGTTTGAACTACTGTATGCTAATAAGTAAAACCACAACCAACACTTCATATTTCTTCCCACATCAAATATTGTACAGTAACATACAAATACACACCTCATGCATGCACACACCATATTTCATTGAATACCAATAACAAAGTTACTGAAGTACTGTATATTACTGTTCCAATTCGTCCAATTACTATGCATTTGTTAACAGGTTTAACTCATAAGATTCCTACAGCATAACTCTCATCCACCGGCTGTGATACTGAACTTACAAGGTTTTATTAATCTTTTATAAATATCAATATATGGGTGAAGAAAATCACACCATAGCATTATATTAATATGATCCCTCTGTTAATCCTGGGGTTACTTCTCACACATGGTAAAGCCATTCCTTATGAACAAAACTAAATAAAAAAAATTAACTAATCCTAACATTGGTGACGCCATCAGAACACTCTGGAGTGCCATCCTGGTACAGTACAGGTATATCATCATATAACATACCAGCACAATTTTCAGAAATATATTATTTTTACATTTAAAATGCTGCATAAAAAATTTAAATGTTTTCAATAAACATAGGCAGCAACCTCATCATAATTCTGTACTTTCTTTTTCCTTTTTATATTAAATATAACCTGAATAAAGATAAATAAATAATACAGAACTCAATCCTATTGTGTAAATATTAATTAATTTTGTTCTAAAAGTACTGTACAGTACAGTACCACTATCCAGCAACAGTGTATTGTACTCCACTGTTTACATCACCCAACAAAGAAAAGGGTAACTTGTATCAACTAAAACAGTATACAAATATATTACCCTCAGTAAAGTACTATGACCTTTTCACTTCACTTCCTCCAATTTACAGATCATGCATCAATAACAACTACCTATATACATTATATAATAAAAGTTTATCCACTACTTAATATAATTTACTTTTTCTTTTCCGCATTAAAAATTGTATAGAATGTAATCTCCTGGTTTTGTTCATCAATGCTATACTTATAATGGCACAAGTGATTCTTCTCGCACATAGTCTTTGTTTTGTTACTCCTTATCTTTCTACTTATAAGCTCACTTGGCAATAAACCTCTTTTTTTGTACTTTCTTACTTCTTAGTGCAAGCAAGTGGCATTAGTTTCACACATCTGATACAAAACACAGAAGTAATTTACATGACAAAAAGAGTTTCACACAGCAACATATAAAAATAATTCTTCCTTCATAAATAATGTACATAATTTACATGGAATACTTAATACTACTAAGTTGGTTTCATCTCAGAGAGTCAATGGGCTGTGGCAGTGTCAGAGATGTTAACGTGTAGAGCCGGACCTCCCCATTAACCACCACTGCTCCCACTATAGGCACATCATCGTGGAATCTTGTGCTTACCTCTAAAATCTGCCCAGGTGTTGGCATATTTCTGTCCCTGAATAAATTATATATAAATGTATTAGAATGTGACACTAAACCGGCTAGAAGAGTGTTGACAAGCAAGAGACATTAAATTTATATTGTAAAGTTGACTTACTTCTTCACAGTAGTTGGGGTAACACCATGTTGAGATTAAAATGAGAAACAGAAGACACTTATATACAAAACATAAATAAAAAACATTACTACTGTTTACCTTTTGAAATGAAAGATTAATCCTGAAAGCCTCTCACAGAATAAGACCAAACTTACAACCTGGCAGCTTGAGTAAAGTAATTCACTAAAGTCATGGGATCATGACCTATTAGTGGCCGGCATTTATACCTTACGTTTAGTTTACCTCCCAATTGCCACCAATGCCCTTAACCCCTAGTGGAACAAAACCACACACACTGTAATTGTGCCAAAATTCCTCATTAAATGACCCTCTCCTTCCTCATTATTATATATTACATTATACATGCACCATTTGTGTTATTTGTAAATTTTCAGCTTATGGCTACTGTATTTGTTAATAAACCATAAATTATTACTATCACACACACACACTATGACCAATGAGGCTGCTTAGCACTTTCAAATTCCCTGCCATATTTGTATAAAAAAAAAAAAAAAAAAATCTGAGTGCGCTACACACCTCATGACTGTGATCCTCTTGCTGGGTAGGCCGGGGTCGGTCTTCTTGTACGGCACCGTAGCGAGGTAAACATCATAGTGGATTGTTAGATGCATGTCTTGGGGCAGCTTCTCTTTGTTAAACATGCTGCTGCTGGCAATACTCTCATTCTTCATACTACACCCAGACAATACTGATTCTGTCAATATACACAAGAAGGAGAACTATACTAAATATAGATTATATACAATTATACAGCAAGTATTAAAATAGTAACCGATAGACATGATTATGACTATTACTGAGCAAAATACTGAAGCTCCATTTATACACAAACTCTCGGTGGTGCATCGTCAAGGTAAAATGGAGAGAAATGGTACATGTAAACAAACATATATTACAGGAAGAGCAAAGTGGATACAGGAAAGGAAGAGAATGCATAAATCCAGTTATTGTAAGAGTACAGTAAACAGTGTTCAGGGAAATAAAAGAAAGGTGACATTGTGGAACTGGAAAAATTATAAAATGTACAGGTAAACACATGTGAGTGAATATTACGTATAGAGGTGGCCATGGCGGGCCTGATGAGTGGAGTGGTGGGTCCCCGCCAGAGTGTTTGGCCTGGACCATCAGCCAACAGTTTGTCTGCAGACATCTCCTTCACAATCCTTTTATACTCTTTCCATGAATTAACCTTCCTGTTTAACTGCGAGAGATTAACAAAATTAATAGCATAAAAATAACAAATAACATTTGGTGTACACTCAATCCTAGTCCAAACACAACAAGAATCTAGTGTTGTTACATGTAAATAAATTAATATACAAATACATTACTGTACTTCCAACTTGAACATTTGACTAACATCAACACATTAACAACCATTAATACTGATAAAAAGATTTTTTCTTCTCAACGTGTTACTGAACATAAACTCGACCTACCCTCACAATACAGCTTGGATAGAAGGGCACGTCTTTCCTTTGCCATCTTCGCCTTCTTGTTTTCCATTCAGGTTTCTTGGTGTAGTCTATGGTACCTTCTTCAGGTCCATCCAAACCTCTTTCATTTGTGTGTTGGTTCAAGATCCTCTCGTGTTCGTTATCGTCATAATCACGACGATGCTCATCATCAAGCGCTTGTCTGTTAAAGTGGGAGGGTTGTGCACATCTGTCATCATGATGCCGCCAATGTTGTTCTCTCCACCCTAGGTTGTCCTCCCCCCTCTGTTCTCTACCATACATCCAACCATCTCTATTATATTGTCTTCTCTTGACATCTCTGTTATTATCCCACCTAACGCGATACCTTCTCTTCTCACGGTCTCTTTCACAGCCTTTATTCCACTGTACACTAAACTGCGCATTTTCTTTTCGCCAATCTGTACAGTCTGATTCACAAGCACCAGTCCAATGAGCTCTATTGTCCTGATATTTCTTATTACCTTCCTTACACCACGGTTCACCTTTTCTGTTCCAGTTGTCATACTTTTCACGCCTGTTATACACATTCTGGGGAGTGGTATCATACAGGCTGTAATAATTCAAAGCTTCTAATGAAATCTGATAAATCGGTTTGATTGGAATGCTGTTTTTGGGAAGAAATTGCTTAGGTTCCACAGAAACTGACATAATTTTTTCACCCTGCATGGTCGGCAACATGTCCAGTAACTCCCTGCGTTTCTTTTCATATGGAGTGAATTCTTCTTCAGGTATGTGTTCTTTCACGGTCTTAGAATCACCTTTTGCCTTGTTAGAGTTTTCTTTCTTTGTATCAGTGGCATGTGGGGTGGAGGAAGACCCTGTAGAAGGTCCTAGTATATCATAAAACTCCTTCATCACTTCATCCAAGGCCTCATTTTTGGTATTAATCTTCCCTTTATTTCTCTGAGCCTCATTTGACTTGTTCTTGCCTTTTAACTTCAATTTCACTCCTTTCTTGCTGACTTGATGTCGATCAATCCCAATCTGTGTTTCATAGCCTGAAATAAAAACAAAATATTATCCTGAAACTTGTAAGGTGAAACTCGGACGTGTCACGTATTTAGAAATATTACGTCAGGTTGGCGAAATATGGTAAAAAATTTTGATTACTGTATATGGATCTGGAATATGGTTATGAGTTGTTTGGAAAGTGAACAGGTAGTAAAAGAAGATTGGAAGGAGACTGTGGTTTGACAAAGGCAAGAAAAGTAAGAATAACTAAAAATGTTTGAGGGTATCATCTTGTGAACAAGGTTGGAATCATAAATTGTACTTTTGAATATAAAGACAAGAGAATGCTCCTTCAACTTTATAAATGACCTTGTATGTTCCCATCTGGACATAACCTTACCAGAAAAAGTGTAACACAAAGTAACTAATTATTCCTGAACTAAATAGTCTCAATTATTTAAGTATACTGTGAGCCTTCAGACACGACATGACAGGGGAACTCATCAACACTCAAATCCCTGAAAGAGATGGAACACAGAAACCCAGATAATTTTTTTGAGAGATGTCAAGCTAAAAAAACACTCAAAAGGTCACAGCTTTACTCTCACTAAATTGTCACATAGAATAAATAGCAATTATGGAGTACTTATTCATGTAGAGGATGGTAGAGCTATGTAACAGTCTACCAGCAAGAATAGTACTGGACTTGATAACCCTGATCATGAGTAACAAACACACTGGAAGGATCATACACATGTCATCAATCTCCTTCCCCAGTCATGGTCACTTCTATTTGTAGTCATTTAGTTTAATTTAGGAAAAGTTATAAGACAAATAGTTAAAGAAACATTAGGTACATTAACATAAAGTACGTACGTGTATACACAAGGTGTGTTTGATGACGAACCACCTTGCAGCCAGTTCTGGAGAGGTGTGCATATACAAGGTACTGGTCCACATGATGAGCATCCTGCAGCATCACTGTCTGGGCTTGTTGGAGGCTCAGTGCTACATCCCCATAAGACACTTCCAATTCTCCCTGGTAAATAAAAATTCATATCACTCTGCTGTACTTATCATTGTCTGCAATGCTCAACTAGTATTTTCAGAGATAAATAATTATTTTCCTTGCATGTTCTACGAAGTGAAAAGGGTCCAGGGTTCTGCAAAAGGTTCCATTCCTGGGAACACTACTGTACAGTACATGTATTTATTTTTAGCTTAATTGCCTTCATAAATTGATTAGATCCATTATGGGAAGCCCTAAGATGTCTATGTCAGTAACACAGCATCTTATGTACATCAAAACCTATTTTTTTTTTTACAACTTTGGATTTGCATAAATTGAAGCCTGCTTGTACGAACAATGTTCCGTATTACTCAGCAATGTAATAATAAAACAGTGATAAACAGGGCAGCTTTAAGTGGCACCACACAGTAAACAGCAGCTTAGTCTGGTTAACAGTCATCACAACTTCCTCCTGTCCACCCACCGAGAAGTGAACATAACCACAATGCTCTTTCATATTACAGTAGTGAACTATACAGTCAGTAACACAAACTCTTAGCCAATAACTTACTGTGTCTATGAGGTACAAGGCCTCTTCAGGGTAGAGGCACTTGCCTATATCAGTTTCTGCTCCCATGTATTGCCAAAATTTGCCAGTCTCGTGAAGAACTCGCACCATGCCTGACTCCTTCAACCACTCTCCTGTGGCCAGCTGGTCTCTGTCATGTTACACAATTGTCATGTCAACTTCTGATCATTTTCCACAAATTTCAAGTTATATTTATTTTATAAGCAATCAAGTTATCTTTTTATTTCAGACAAATACAGTACAGTATATGGCAACAAACAGTTTTATCAAAGCATGCAGTATTTAATACTCTGGAAGCCTACTACTACTGTACTTATGACTAAAAAGTCTCTATCTTCTACATATTAAGTAAACTTGCATGAAAAAAAAAAATGTACAGGATCATGCCAGGAGTGTCTGTGTTAATGTCAGTCGAGGGAAACACATGAACTAAGTGTTACCTTCTGACAAACTTGGGTTCAGCCAGTAACCTACGATGCTCTTCAATTCGAGCCTCAACCTGTTGCTTCTCTAGCCACGACCCGCTGGCCTCCGTCAGCTTCTCCCCCACCACAGGTAATGTCTGGTCACGACCCCGAGCATTAAGCAACTCCTCACCACTGGAATGGATTTTTTTATTTTTCTTATTTTCAAATATTATATAGTTAAGGCACACACATGGTGCTAACTGTTATTTGTATCTATTTATTTATTTATCTTATTTTATTGACAGAAATTTCCCTAAAGTGGCTCCTCCCCCATGGGTCTGACATCTGAAGTATTACACTACAACACTGGTTCTCGATTTAGGGTAAATAACTCCCGCCAGGATAATTTGACATTTTTCAGCGATAGCGCAGTTGTAGACATGATTACAAACAAATCCAATCCAAACTGTCTGCCAAAATGATGCACAAACACTATATATGGGATAGTATTATTGTTTAGGTCATCCAGCACATTTTAGGGGTTCCCGGTTAGGTTAGATTGGTGAGGTTACATTAGGTTAGATTCGATTGGATATCTAAATACGAGGATGACCGAAACTGTAATTTTACCCAGTACAGTCCCTAATTTTCCTCGTCAAGTTCACATCCACCAATATCGACCTATATTTTTTCTGGGGGTTAACGCGTATTGTCATCATGTTTGTATTGAGGTAAACAGTCAAACCAAATTGAAAATCCTCTCCTTTGTATACAGTCATTAGTTAATGGGTGCCCCTCTCTTAGACTAAAGGTTCCTAGTTAATGGTTCAAGTGTTTGTTCCATAGTGCATTTTTTAATACCTAAATAGTTTACCGAAGTTTGTAGAATAGTTACACAGTTTTGTTCTCACTACATGACCTACAGTACCTACATAAGATAACATACACACTAACCGTAAGATACACACACACACCCTCAGCCCAGCACTATCATGGGTTACCTTAGGCTTCCTACTAACATTTATTACAGTGGCTGTCAAAATCACCTCACCTTGTAAATAGGGAAGAGTCCATAGCGGCTAAATATGAACACAGTACCACAGAACCACAGAAGAGACACACCACCACAGTACCACACAAGAGACACACCACCACAGCAACACTCGAGGCTCCACACAAAACTATCTCAGATGTTAATGTTGTTAAGTTTACCACGAATAAAAAAGGATTTTCTTTTAGGTAACACTAACCATATATATCGGGATATAAAAAAACAAAATTATTCATAGTATCATTAGTTTCAGTGTAGTGAAGACAATATTTGGTTGTTGGTTATAAGAACAAAAATAATTGTACATTAGATGATGGTCGTGGTAATTTCAGAACAATAAACATCTGCGTCTTGTTGACAACGGACTAAAACATTATGTTGGTCGCTTATTTTTGGTTTTTTTTTTTACAATTTTCGCCACAAATTCACTGATTTAATATACATGTAGATACAGTATACAAAAACTATTCAGACATTTATACGCACAGACAATAATAAACAAAGCAGATTTGACCAAAAGGTAATTTAAAAAGAAAATTAAACTCTTCTATTTCTGTAGGTTCACCTGCATTGTATTTTTCAATTTTTATTTTGAAATGTTTGACACTGAATTTAATTTTGCTAGACAAATTTCTTGACCATGAACACCAGTATTTTTTTCTTCAGACAGGTGACAGTAGATTCGTATCCCAAATCCTTGAAAAAAATCTGCACGAGCTCCTTTTTAGTTTTTTAGTTTAACAAATTTATTGGCAGAGCTTGTAGTACAGTTTGCCTATTGTGAGTAATTCAGTCAGGTCTTGACACTGAGGGTGGTATCACTTCTCACTGCCACGCAGGACAGAGGTTCACACACAAAGAAATACATCATATTCATTAACAACTATAAATGTATATAGGTGAGGTTCATATGGATAATGTCACTGTTCACTGCCATGCAGGACAGAGGTTCGTACACAAAGAGTTGCATCATATTCATTGACAGTACATATACTGTACATATATGTAAACACACACACACACACATATACATACACATATACATGTACACGTACATATACATGCACACACGCACACATACATACATATACGTCAGTCAGATTCATGTGGGTAATGTCACTTTCCACTGCCATACAGGACAGAGGTTCGTACACAAAGAATGCATCATATTCATTGACACTATATATAGGTCAGATTCATGTGGGTAATGCCACTGTTCACTGCCATACAGGACAGAGGTTCGTACATAAAGAAGGAAATACATCACATTCACCAGCAGCATATATAGGTCAGTGGATCACATACATTGGAGTCATATTCTAATTGAAGACTAATCAGTGTGGGCTAGCAAATTTGGGATAAACAGCAAGAATGTCCTCAAGCACACCTGATTCAATGAAGTAATTACATAGTTCAAGATACAGTAAGTCAGGTGGCCTGAAGTCATTGACAGTGTCACATTCAATAATATAGTGTTCAAGTGTATGCTTTAAAGGTTTATCACAAAGTTTACATGCTGAGTGTTCCGGTATGGGTACAGCGTTACTAACTTGCCAGATGTGTCTGTATCCTAGCCTAATTCTGGCCACGACTACATCACATTGTCTGGTTCTGTCCTTAAATGTTTTTTATCATTACAAATTGTAAGATTACACCTAGTATATAACCTTCATCACAACTGTTGTTAACACCTTGGATACTGTTAATGAAAACGATCTCGATGTTGTGATATATTTGAGGGTAACAGTACACAGCACCATTGTTGCAGTGCCAATTTTTAAGGTACCGAAGCCGTCAAAATAATTTTCATTTCCTAAACCGTATCTATTGATGCATAAATCATATATATATATATATATTATATATATTTGATCAAGTACTGTAGTAGTCTAATGTGCTTATCCTTTCGATATTGGTCACATATGTATAGCTCTTATGCGAGGAAGTGCTGTTTTGAAGTGTTTAGAAGTAAACCTGTTTTAAAAGTTTTTCTACAATATTGATGTCATAAAATGTAAGCTGATCTGAAGGAGAGATTAATTATATGAGGATATATTCGGTTTTGTACATGTATTATTAATGCAAAATAAAGTTGGTTGCTTGATTGATATAGATTTATAGTAACAACATATAGAGCTTACTATAACTTCATGTGTGAAGTGTGGTGTAGTGGATGAAGAGGAATACACTAAGGTGGTATGGACATGTGCCGAGGATGCATGAAGACAGACTGACAAAAAAAGTTTATGAGAGCAAGAGAGAGAGGGGAATGTTGGGAGGGGTAGACCAATTGCCACCTGGGAGAAAAGAGTTAGAGAGTTTGTTGGAGAGAGCAGGAAGGGGAGGAAGAGTGCTTGAGAGAGCAAGTGAGGTGTGCAAGGATAAAATGGCCAGGAGACATTTCTGCCATGGCCACCCCGTTGGGGAGTTCCCGGGAGAGAACAAGGCGTCGGTGATATAGATCGATTGATCAAAACAGAGGTGCCAGAGCAGTGCTCCGGTGAGCTCCAGCAGCACAGCATATCACAAGATGGTCAACAACTGTGACACCTGTTGGCCCAACACAAGGAGTGACACTACAGTACAGCAATAATTTAATTTGTATTACAGTACTCACTAACACATGTACTAAACAATTGTGATCATTGTTGTTTCCCTAAGTTCTTGAAAATAAATTTTTCTATTCTGCAGAAATTTCTGCTTGTTTTCCAATGGTCAATAGGAATTTACTTCTAAGAATTTTTGATTTACAGTTTTCAAGAAATTGCACTGCAACAGTTAACTCCTTTATGGGTACAGGTTGTAGCTACAGTTATGGAGTAACCTGCCAGATAATGTTACAGCATCGAGTTAGTGCTCCTTTAAATAAACAGTAATAAACTACTCAATAACCCTCACTTACAGCAGGGACAGAGGTTGGAGTCTAGCATGAAGGCTTCAGTGTGACATACAGACTTCTGCTTCTTCCAGGAAATGGTATTCCTTCTAGAGGGTAGCACATTATCTCCCATGAACAGACCAATAAAGGGGCCGTGCAGATAATGTCTCTCAGGAGAGCTTGTACCCATGCTTACAGTCGAGTCCAACACTGTATACTGTCAAGAATAGTAGTAGTTACCATAAACACTCAACAATGTGCTTAAACAGAATCCCTGCCAATTAGTGTTAACTTGCGTCAAACAAAATACTAGTTAAAGAAAGTTATTTTATAACTTTCACATATGCAATAGATCAAGGGAGGAAATCTTTAAAATTACTACAGTAGTACATACATGATGGAGAGTATGGTGCAATATGTTACAGAATTGTAACAAGATCACAAAGAATGGGACACTAGTGTAGGTAATAAGAATAGATGCATGCTTTACAAAATGAATGGGAAGTTTCAAGAACAATTTGTGGCATTTAAGGATCCAGAAACGAACAACTAAAAATCAACATGGAAAGTATATTGAAAATGCACGGAGCAAATTATCAATGAACTTTATTGAACAGGGACCGATGCATACAGTACACAATTTAAGAATATGATGAAAAAGAACATTTCCACGAGAAGATAAAAACAAAAACGTTCATCACCTTGGCTGCTTGCTTGTATATGATGTATTTAAAACAGTAACAGTCAAATTACAAGGTGGATAATAAAGTGCTGTGCAGATACAATACAGTACTGTAGGTACATTGTTTGCAGTCACATGTTGTCGCCCATTTGGAGTCATTTTTCTGGGAATGTGTACTGTGAATAGTAAAATTAATGGATGCAAGAGAATTGTTGGAGCAATAGTTTAGCACAAGTAAGGGTGGGTGGAGATAAAGGCTACCATTTAGCCAACATCATTGCACAGTATGAGGGTAATCATGGATATTTAGAGACTCAAGGAGGAGTACAATTGCATCAGTAAAAATAACCCAATAATAGTTGAAGGAAAAAAAAAAAAAATATATATATATAGTATATGTAATTGTTAAGAGTCCTGTCAATCCACGTTTCCTTTACTCTTTCATAAACAGAACAATATAACTTTTATACCATCTAGGTCAGAGGATTCTTCTCTTTAGTTACACCAGGTTAGAAATGATACACAAGTACAAGAGGCCACTGAATTATATATTGTAACAATATTGCCTGTATGAGTCAGAGTGGTTAAAATATAAGAAAAATATTGCTTATTATAATGGAAAACCTTTCTACATGTCAGGTTTATTAAAGTTATGAGTCTTCGTCACCAATCTTGGGAGCCAAAAAGTATTGAATCTGGCCAATTTCTCCAATGGCATATTCAACAACTAGTGGAACATCTGGGTGCATTGAGAGTGAGACCTGGGAAAAGATGAGGAGCAATATTAAATTTTTGAAGGACACAATAAAACTAGTAATAAAAGCAACTTATTAAAATGGGCTTAACAAAACATTTCAAAGATGAGTTAACGTGGTACCTGAGGTGATAGAGGTGTGGCCTTGGTGAACATGTTAAGGTACCGACAAGCGAAGGTCAGTGTCACGGGCTCCTGCATATCAATAACAACCGCATCTTCTTCCTTGTCAACACTCGAGGTCTGTGCAAGCTGTAACAGTCAAACAATGTCAATACTTGATGTAAATAAACTAATTCTTCATTTAAAACCTAACATGAACTTGCAGAAAGGCTTTAACATAAAGTAATCATTCTAGCAACTTCAACTACAATTTTTGTATGATTTTGACTATGTGTCCCAGGGGTAAAAATTATGGCCATGATTATCTATAAACCAAGTCCCTGTACTGTAAAAAAAATCCTTTACGTACATATCCCCCATCCTATCTCAATTTGTGTACAAAATCACGGGTACAAAGATGCCACAACTAATTCTGAAGCTCATCAATACACTAAGCATCTTCACACAATCATCAGAAGTGTACGGAGCCATTTATGACTTCCCGACATGAACCAAGCATTGCAAGTGCCACTACAGGTACACGAAGGATACGTAATAATAATAATAATAATAATAATAATAAAAAAAAAACCTAAAAAAAAAAAAACTTACTTTTCTCCATAACCTTTCTTCGGGTACCAACAGCCCCGAACCTTGTTTATTATATATATACTGTATACAAGATCAAGATTATGGGATTTTAGGCCGAAAAATCTTTTCCTTTCAGAAATGGAATTTAACCAAGTCTAACTACTTAAATATATCCAGAATAATACAAACACTAAAGTGACTTTGATAAGCCATAGGTAACAAGTTAAACCGGGAACATTATTTTTTAATAGCAGTTTCCATAATTAGTTCCTCATGCTAATGTGAATTTCTTGTTGTGTGAACATGCGTCACATGGGGAATTCTGGACTGTACCTGTATTCCATTGCTAAACTAACATGGTCCAGGAACATTTCTTTGTGCTCTTGAACAAAACCTATTTCTACAGACTTACCTTGACATTTGCAGTTCCAATGTCACCAGCTGCGGAGAATTTAACACCTTCTTTAGAACAAGCAATTACAATATTCTCTCCAAAGTTACTAAGATCTCTGCAGATACGAGCAAATTCTCCAGATGGCATCTTTATAACACAGGCATACTCAGTTTCCTGGAAAGATAAAATTAAGACTACAGTACCTGTACACACCAACCCCCAATGTACAGTAAACCATTTATATAAAACAGTGAGTTCTGTGTACATGAGAATTTGCCAACTAAAACGCATTTGTCAGTTACTTATATCCCTCGGTGGCAGAGACAGAGGACAAAGAATATTGTACTTACTGGAATACCCAGATGATCCTGGTCTAGGTTCATAAGTTTCATCTGATAATCTGACACTTTCTCCTGGCTGGGGGACTCGAATATAAAGCTGACTGTGTCAGCATTGTCCTGAGCCTTCATGGTGATGATGTCATCACTGGCAGAACACTTGAGGATTTTTGACATGCTGTAAGAAGTAAACACAATCAATAATCCAGTAATGATAAATAAACTGTACAAAGAAGTAATAATAATAATAAATTTGATGGAAGGATTATTCTCAACCCCACAACAAGAATGAACAGAAATGGCTCATTACTTGACTTTCACTATAAGTGTTTTCTAAACATCAAAGTTATGATATTGAGCAACCCCCCCCCCCAATATAAATGTTTTGCAGGGCTCACCAGAGATGGAAGCTCACCCTATTTCAGGAAGTAAAACTTTATCTTAAGACCCAGACCCTTATCAATGTCCTGGAAATGAAAGTAATTTTATTAAAAGCTTCCATTAAATAAAAAACACAATTAGGAACTTATAATAATAATATCAACAAATATCAAGCACCAACAATTTCGCTTCAGCAGCAAACACAGACATTTCTCTCACAGCCACGGAGATTATTTATTGTCGACAAAATAAACCAACACTACTCCCTGTCCTAGGAGAGAAAATCGTTGTTCTAGGTTAGGCAAATTTGATCTCACCTTTGTCAACCTAACGCAAATATAGTGTCCATGCAGGAATGGACTGTACTTACTCTCTAAAACCACCAGAAAAAAAATTACAGCTAATATCCTCCACTACTTTATTGATATTCAAGAAGTTATCTTCAGAATATTTTTAAGTGAGGAATATTTAAAGGTCCTGTCGTAGTTTATTCCCAACTAATTATTTTCCTTTCCACGAGGCAGGAAAGCATTATCCTATACAAAATGAGTTCCCCAAGTTGAGGGTTAAAACTCAACCACCGTAAAACGTTACCAAAACTAAAGCACACAGAGTGCAATTCCTCCATCCTTTTTTTTTTATTCTTGAGGTAAGAAATAAGTTTCTTCTAAATATATTTTTTGTTAGGTAGCTGTTTATCCCAGACCACTGTCCGTCACTGTTACAGTCATAAGTGCTGTGGATGTCCACCAATGAGGGAAGTTTCATATTTTACCAGCAAAAATTGAGAGGCCAGAGAATCATTGGTAAAATTATAGTTTCGATCGTCCCTGTATTAGCTATCCAAACTAAGGTATCATTGCGTATACACCGTTCATTCCTACCACTAATCTATTATCATATTCGAATAAGACGTCTAATCACAAGATAATTTTTCATCCATTACATTACCGGCGGAAATGTATACTAACGGAGATAGCTTTTCCAAAATTGTCTCTATTTTCCTCCATTAATCTTCCGATATTATCGCCTGCCTCCTTCATAAATCATCACGCACATGCGTTCCCGTACACGTCACGCGACCAATCAAAAGCGTTTTTGTTTTTGCAACCAATTAAAATAAGTTTGGGTTTAATTCGCAGTATATTTGGCCCAATCAAATTCGAGTTTAATTTTGGGTCTCTCATATTTCAAAATTCAAGTTCAGTAACTTCAGTTCCGACCATGGCAGTCTGCGATGGGTGTCACTTCAATTATATGGAGCTGATTGCGAGTTTTTGGGAAAAAGACTAAGAAACTATAGCATTTTTTCGATCGCATGGTGTTCTTCCAACCTCAGTAAAGTGTACTAAGAGCAAGACAATGTAAATATCGCAAAGACCAACATATGTGGCGATGTGTAAGAATCCCAGAATGCAACGACGAACAAGAACCAGGCCAATAAGGTAAGAAATAGGTGATTCCATCATATGGTGAGTCAGTTAGGTTAGGTTTTTGTTTTTCTAGTGTTTTTTGGTGTATTTTGCCATGATTTTTTTTTGAAACCCCCCGCTAATTTCCCCCATAAATGAAGGTCATATTGGGTCTAAACACAAATACACTAGAAAAATATATTTTTCACTTTCTAACAGAGAACGGTGTGACAATGCAAATTTACCCAAACTAACCTAACCTACCCCCGTCCCCCAGTGCCGAAACTAAAATGATATCGAATGTTTTAATTAAGAGTGGACCACTGATCCCGTGAGAACAAAGACCATCTTGCACTCAGGTGCCTCGGAAGGCGGACATCCTATTGAGTGCCACAATTCATGTTGCCTTTACACCATCACCACAATATACTGTAATTAATATAACCACCATCTATGACTCTAAGCCCACGACATAGTCCAGCCTGGCACCACCGTTAGTACCTTAGTTGGTCACATGTAATCTCGTCTGTACATTACCTGGTTAAGTCCATGCCCATTATTAGATTTCTGTCACATCTGTATTTATCGAACCCTTCAGCTCGGAGGTTGACAGAGACGAGGGAGACGTGAGAGTTGTCCATGGCCTGGAGTTGGATACCGGAGTCGGCACAGTCCCATGACGCCTCGGTTAACAAGTCCTTTATGGCATCAAGCACCTTCTTCAACAAGTTACCATGGACAAGACGAGCCTCAAACATTTTGGTGGGTTGTTGATTTGTTTAACAGCAGGAGCACTTATATATTTCTGGCTGCGTGTCAGCGCACCGTCCACCCTTGACGTCACAGGTCGTTTATCTACACGTTTTCGCGCGTTTTTCGAGAGTGTCACAACAAGAATTCGCGGGAAGGAATTTGATTGGTCAGTTCTGCTGTGTGGGAAGCTGATTGGCTCTCCAACAGTTAATGTATGAAAAATTATAAAAGAAAACCGAAGCTTCAAACAATTAATATATAGAAAATAATTATCGCTTTAACAATTAAATTTTGTAATTCATGGTCTATAATAATATAATTTAACTGAGCTTAGTTTTTTAATATAAACACTTACTACATTGTTGAATTTGTCTACAAAGCGTGTAACTCTTGTTCTGACACATTCTCATATTTTAAAGTCAAATGAGGACAAAAATAATTTTATGTATTATATTTTTATTCTAAAATATAACTAATAACAATGAAAAAAGTATAAGTTTGCTACTTTTTTATATATAATATTATTTAAGTAGTACTTAAATTTTAAATAAAAGTTTTGAATTTGACTGGATCAGTTGGCGGGAGTTCAACCCGTGGACTGGTGGTGCCGTCAGTCGTCTGCTCGCTTCAGATCTAACGGGTGGGGCAGGCAGGCGGGGCTTTGTAGTGCCGTGTTGTCTTGTGAGAGGCTCAGTGTGGAAGGCGGTAGTTAATTCGCCTTTTCTTCTTGTTCGACCGTCAAATCTTCATACAGTAGCCATGTCGGTTATGACAATTAGGCTATCCAAAGCCGAGGGTACACCCTGGGGCTTCAGACTGCAGGGAGGCAAAGACTTCGCTACACCTCTCTGTGTTCAAAAGGTAAGATTAACAAACATCCTCTTATTTATAATGACTCAGTAACCCAGAATTGCAAATAAATATATAAGTTTAAAGCAAATTTAAGCTTGGATACTTATTTAAATCTGCAACATGTATAATGAAGGACTCGGTAACGCGTTTGGGTCACAACTCCATCTTCGCGACTCTTTATACTGAACTCTGAATATTGTTGAGATATTACTATATACCTCTCGCTAGTTTCCTCTGTAATAGTCTCCTAAAATGGAAATAAGAGAAGGGATAATGTGAAAGATATTTGAGGGGTAGGCGGTGTGAGGGAGACTGTCTGGGAGTAAAGCCATTTAAGGTAGTGTTGGGAGGTGGGTGTCATCTTCCCCCCACCATGCACCCACTACCTACACACACACACACACACACACACACACACACACACTACACACACACACACACACACACACACACACACACACACACACTACACACACACACACACCCACACACCCACCCACACACACACACACACACCACACACACACACACACACCACACACACCACACCTACACACACACACACACACACTACCCACACACACACACACACACCACCACCCACACACACACACACCCACACACACACACACACACACACACACACACACCACACACACACACACACACACACCACACACACACACACACACACACACACACACCCACACACACACACACACACACACACACACACACACACACACACACACACACACACACACACACACACACACACACACACACACACACACACACACACACACACACACACACACACACACACACACACACACACACACACACACACACACACACACACACACACACACACACACACACACACACACACACACACACACACACACACACACCACACACACACACACCACACACACACACACACACACACACACACACACACACACACTACACACACACACACACCTACACACACCTACACACACACCTACCACACACACACCCACACACACACACACTACCACACCTACACACACACACTACCTACACACACACACACACACACCCACTACCTACACACACACTACCTACACACACACACACACACACTACCTACACACACCCACTACCTACATACACACACATTCAGCTGATCTTCGTATTGGATTAAAATTTGTTGGCATTTACGATAAGACCATTCAGTGTTGGATTTACAATTTAAAATGTTTAGTTTAAAGAAAGCGTTGTTTTTTTGGGGACTTAAGTTTAAAGAGTTTTCAACGCTGGATCAGGGGTTTGGGACTTTTCAGAGAGACGAATAATTAATTTTGGACTTCACTTTAAAGTTTTTTTAATTTGTTGGGTCACGGTTGGCCAGGGAGCTTATGACACTCCACTGGACGTCAAGGGTGGATGGATCTTATTCACATATTCCTGCATCATAATCTCCCATAAGTTATACATATAAACATACATGCACGTTTTTCTCCCAGGACAAGTAAACAGGACAATAAGTAAACTTGTTTTATAACCAGGATGAACTAGGGATGGCTCTACGGGGACAATGGTGCTTGGTGTATCACGTACTGGAGAATATTCAACCAGGTGTGAGTTAATTTAGTTGAGGCAGGTTTTCGGTTGATGGGTTAATGGATAGTAACTTAGGGAAGGGGCGTGGATGTGAATGATGAGGTTCGACTAAAGGAATGGATAGTCAGCCAATAATTACCGATAGATATTTAAATCGCTGATAACTAGATAATTGGAAATGTGTAGCATATATATACGTGTAGAAAACTAGGAATGTTATAGTAATTTCTATAAAGGTTTACTCCCATATAGACAGTACCATCTACTGTTTGCCTACTGTGCAATAATACGGTCACGATCCACATGGCTGTGTGCTTTTGATGTCACTATTCACACTACTGTAGCCTAACTGTGCTTGAATTTCGTAAAAAAAATATATATATAATTCAATTCCCGAGTTCCTGAGTTTCTTATCTATCTCCAGGGCATCCAGAATATTTTATCTTTTTGAGGGAGACAGTGAAGTTGTTGTGTTGGTAGTGTGGTAGTACAGGGTGTGGTGGAGGATATTGGTGGTGTGGTAGTGGAAGTGTTGTTATCTTGGTGTTATGTTAGTGGAGGTTTGTTGGTTTGGTAATACAGGATGTGGTGGTGTAGTAGTGAAGGATGATTTTTGGTCATATACACATAATTAACGTCTTCTGTACTGTACATACACGGATTTAAAAACATCATGGTGCCACTTTTGAACCTCTGTAGTGACTTTAATGGTATACACGCATTTAGGAAGCAGGGGATCTTGTTTCCACTATAAATATTAAGGAACAAACGGCTATCTGTTGTGAGTGATTGTGTATATATACTGTACATGGGCAGCAGAAACTATATCAAGGAGTAAGTGGGCGAGGAGAGACAACTTGGCGTCAGGTTGGCGTAGGCGATGATGCATCCTGGTGTTGAAGGAGTCACTGATTCTTATGATAACTTTTTCCTTGTTCTGCAGCCCTCAGTTATCACGATGCAGTGTATTGATATAGTATAATTATTCCTGAAAAAGTACCAAATACGTTTGTCTGAATGTTATGTATAATTTGTAATACAATAAAAAAGAATGTTGTTGGTAGTCGGTGAGAGCAGCGTGAATGTCTTCTGTTGTCAAGGTTTGTTATGCACCGTGTCAGGATAACCTGTTCTGGGGTCCGTCACCTGCATACTTGTTATTTTTTCCTAATATAGTTGTACCTTTTGACACTGTTATTTGGTGACTGTAATAGGAGTCTTGAAACCTATTGTGTAGACGTCATTTATCAGTGAATTGTGATTTTCATAAACTAACAGCTGTGGATATTGTGAGTACGGTTGTTGCTGATGTCATTAAGCTGATTCCAAGCGTAACTGGTCCATGTACGCGAGGACGGCTACAGCGGTAATCAATATACATATGTCGGTATAATCATAAGTTGGTGGTAAGAATCAGAATATGGCTACACAAGTACACATGTATCGTCGTTTGAGGAGTACGTGTAAAAGCCAGTTAATAGTGTTGTGAGTAGGTTAGTTGGAATGTGTTGGCGTGAGAGGTGCCCCCGGAGAGACGGCCACTTACTGCTGGTTGAGCTGGTGTGGGCGGAGGGTGATGTGTTGGTGCCAACCCTGGCGGCTTACCTTCATAAGAGACACCCGACCTGTTAGCCCTCTCCCCCAGCCTGCCTGCTTGTGTAAACTAAGCTGCTCACCATTGTCCATCATCAATCTCTTCTCTTACTGCTACGAATATAAAATTTTTACCCCCACTAATTGTCTTTCGTAATAATATACATTTCTCGCTTGAGCAATTTGCCGTCAATTGTCAACTTAAAGAACATTTTTTAATAGGCCACAAGATATGTTAGTTTAAAAGCCAGAGTAGTTGAGAGTGGTGTGGGCACTGATGAGGCTAAACATAGGTAACCCACTTCACTGTGCAGCTTGGCTGTTGGCGTCAGTGGGTAAACTCCTCACTAACAGTGACTAGGACGGTGGCTCTCTTGTTCCTGCAGCTGGCGACCCCACCACCACCACTCCCCCATACACTACGAATAACACCAATGATGATATAAAGATAGAAGATGAGATTAACGTAATTATTCATTAGCACAAAAGACATGGAGGAACATATACCTCTAAAGCAGTTGTCCACGCCACTACACCTCTTCCGCTACAGTTGGCATTATCAGAGCAGAGAACAGACAGTCCATCAGCATTATTGATACTGAAGAATAGTACTCAGAGGGCGAGACAATTCAACACCCTCTTAATATATTCTAAACCCATAAGTACACTCGTACACCCACATGCTATACACTTACACCCACGCGTCTTGGTAGATTAGCAGTTATGTTCCAAGGGATTAAATTACTCGCCAAACTTCCTCTTCCCTGCATAGCCTAGTGTTCACCATCTTGTGTTTTATCGTCATATATATATTGAATTACAAAGAAGGAAGTCTGATTTGTCATTATTTAATAGAGTTAATTTTTAGCCTAATTGGTGGAGGAATAGAAGATAATACTGGAAAATGCAAAGGCGGCGTCAGGGAAACCTCGCTAGTGGTAGTGGTGTTGGCTTGGTTGGCCGGCGAGGCTGTATTTTCTCGGCGTGGGGTAAAATTAGACGTGATATCAGGCAGCCAGGACTTTGTAAACCTTAGTCGTTGTTCTCACACTCCTCCCCTCCACTCACTCCTTCACCTTCCGTCACTCCCCCTCCGCTGTACTGTATATACTGTACATCAGGTTTTAATGATTTTTAGTCCACTTGTAAAAACCTTCTTGTGTGTGAGTGTAACGGTTCCTCAGCCCACCCGCACCCAAACTGCCTTACCCTCAATTTCCAAATATGGACTCTCTCATTCATGCATCTGTAATTGTACACCTCGGCGATAGAGAGAGAGATATATTGCCCAAGCGATTATGAATATTCTTTTAAAAACCGAAAGTGGTTAAAGGAGTAATTACAATATACTGTAGATCTGTTTGGCAGGTTCTCTACACTGCATAACAAGCCATATTTTCTGTGGACTTGGCAGGCAGATAGCTTGTCACACTTCTCTAGAACTTTAGGTGGGTGATGAAATGGTGGTAGGTGGGATGGTGGTAGTGGTAGGTGGGATGGTGGTAGTGGTGGGTGGGATGGTGGTAGTGGTAGGTGGGATGGTGGTAGTGGTGGGTGGGATGGTGGTAGTGGTAGGTGGGATGGTGGTAGTGGTGGGTGGGATGGTGGTAGTGGTAGGTGGGATGGTGGTGGGATGGTGGTAGGTGGGATGGTAGGTGGTGGGTGGGATGGTGGTAGTGGTAGGTGGGATGGTGGGGTGGGATGGTGGTAGTGGTGGGTGGGATGGTGGTAGTGGTGGTGGGATGGTGGTGGTGGGTGGGATGGTGTGGCAGTGGTGGTGGTGGGATGGTGGTAGTGGGTGTGGG